GAAGACCTGCAAACTGGCTGCTTCCCAAGACCACGGTTTCAGAAGCCGGGCTGCAGTGCCTCTGAACCCGAGCCAGGCGGCATGCCCCAACCCTCCTCGCCACTTCCTGGCTCTGCTGCTGTGCAGAGGGGTTTCCCTTCCTGGGTCTCTCTTTTCTTTCTTTTCTTTTTTTTTTTTTACAAAAATATATTTGTATTGATTTCAGAGAGGAAGGGAGAGGGAAAGAGAGAGAGAAACATCAACGATGACACAGAATCCTGGATCGGCTGCCTCCTGCACGCCCCCTACTGGGGATCGAGCCCAGAACTCGGGCATGTGCCTGACTGGGAATCGAACCCGGGACCTCCATGGGAGGATGCTCCATCCACTGTGCCTCCACAGCTGGGCCTGAGTCTCCCTTTCTTATTTTGAAAAACAGAGGTCACAATAGAGAGCTAAGAGGATTAACAGCTCTGGAGTCCAGCAGACGAACTATAACAAATGATTATCCTCTAAGTCAATTGGCAGAGCTGGCCAACGTCACCCCCAGAGAATTAATCCCTCCCCCTTCCCTTGTAGACATTTAATTAAGACCTGAGTTTCCCACGGGGACTCACAGGTTCCAAGCTCACACAAACCGCTGAATAAAAATAGGAATGGGGCCTGGCTGGTTTGGCTCAGTGGACAGAGCGTCGGCCTGTGGACTCAAGGGTCACATTTGATTCCGGTGAAGGGCATGCCCGTTGGTTGCAGGCACATCCCCAGTAGGGGGTGTGCAGGTGGCAGCTGATCGATGTTTCTTTTTTTTTTTTTTTTGATGGATGTTTCTAACTCTCTCTCCCTCTCCCTTCCTCTCTGTAAAAAAAAAAAAAAATCAATAAAACATAATTTAAAAATATGAATGGATTGCACTGAGTACACAATATCAATTCTGGGGGATTGAGGAATGGAAGAGGAAAAAATAATTTTAAATATATTTTTAAATATATATATCAATATATATATATATATTTTAATATATTTTATTGATTTTTTTACAGAGAGGAAGAGAGAGGGACAGAGAGTTAGAAACATCGAAGAGAGAAAATCATGGATCAGCTGCCTCTTGCACCACCCCTACTGGGGATGTGCCCGCAACCAAGGTACATGCCCTTGACCGGAATCGAACCCGGGACCTTTCAGTCCTCAGGCTGATGCTCTGTCCACTGAGCCAAACCAGTCTCGGCAGAATTTTAAATATTTTAAACTGATTTTTAGATGTGAGGAGCCGCACGGCCGTGGCACGCTCAGCCCCGGGCGCCTCATGTGGGCACCAGCTCAGCCAGGCTCTGAGAGGGCGGCCGGAAGGCTTAGGAAAGACGGACGAGGGAGTGAAAGCTGGGTCTGCGTGGGCCACTGCTTCCTGAGAGACGGCGCCAGCGCCCGCACGCTGCGTCTGTATTTCACAGCAGGTGCCACGCGGCAAAGGAGGGCTGGCCACCACGTTCACAGCGTTCTCGTGGTTTCCATCCTCCTCAGCCACCTGCCCCGGACCTCTGCCAGGCCCACGTCACGGCGGCGCGGGGCCACGCGCTCGGACCAGAGGCTCACGCTGGCAGCCCAGCTGCTGGCTGTGGTTGTGCTGAGGGCCCTGCCCTCCACGCTGGGCTCACACGTGGCCAGGAGGCCTGTGCCCTCTCCTCAGTCCGAGGCTTGGACCTGTCCAAACACTGTAGCCGCGACCCACATTGAGAGAGAGGAAGGGAGAGGGAGAGAGCAGGGGTCACCAAACTCATGAGTCAACAGAGCCAAATATCAACAGGACGACGATTGAAATGCCTTGGGAGAGCCGAAAACCGACTTCTGCGCCCGGGCCCCGAAGTTTCAATCGCACTGTACGTGCGCCCGCGTGTGGTGTTTTGTGGGAGAGCCACACTCAAGGGGCCCAAGAGCCGCCTGTGGCTCACAAGCCGCAGTTTGACGGCCACTGGGATAGAGCGATGGAACCGATGCTACAGGCGCAGCGGCGATTGGCTGCCTCTGCGTGCCGGTCCGGGCGCTCGCACGTCTGTGGATCGATGGATCCACAGGCTCCCAGCCAGGTCGTCTCAGCCCCCTCGCTGCTAAAGGCTTCCAGACCAGCCGGAACCGGTGTGGCTCAGTGGATAGAGCGTCGGCCTGCGGACTGAAAGGTCCCGGGTTCGATTCCGGTCAAGGGCCTGTACCTTGGTTGCGGGCACATCCCCAGTGGGGGGCGTGCAGGAGGCAGCTGGTCGATGGTTCTCTCTCATCAACGTTTCTAGCTCTCTATCTCTCTCCCTTCTTCTCTGTAAAATAATAAATAATAATAATAATTTTTTTTTAAAAAAGGCTTCCAGACCATCCTCACAGCCGCCCTCCGTCATGTGCTTAGGCTCATTTCTCAGAGGAAGAAACTGAGGCACAGGCTGGTCAAGAATCTTGCCCAACCCTCGAAGGGTCCCGGTTAAGATTCCAGTCAAGGGCTCATGCCCAGGTTGCTGGCTGGATCCCTGGTGTGGGGTGTGCAGGAGGCAGCCGATCAATGATTCCCTCTCATCACTGATGTTTCTATCTCTCTCTTCCTCTCCCTTCCTTTCTGAAATAAATTTAAAAATATATATATTTTAAATATATTTTATTGATTTTTTACAGAGAGGAAGAGAGAGGGATAGAGAGTCAGAAACATCCATAAGAGAATCATCGATCAGCTGCCTCTTGCACACTCCCCACTGGGGATGTGCCCGCAACCAAGGTGCATGCCCTTGACCGGAATCGAACCTGGGACCTTAAAGTCCACAGACCGATGCTCTATCCACTGAGCCAAACTAGTTTTGGCTAAAAAAGATATATTTTTAAAAGGGTCTCGCCCAGTGTCACACATAAACAAACGGGAGGGTCCGGATTGAAACCCAGCCGTGAGGCCCAGAGCCCACACACGGAGCCGCGCCCGCCCTGTCTGGTTTACTTCGTAATTAAATAACCACTGACCGAGGCCGGAATCCCTCTTTCAGCAGCCGGCGCCTTCTCTCCCTGGGAGGCAGACCACGGGATTACTCGAGGGACAGCGTGTCTGGGTCCCAGGGTGAGAGGCCGGGGACTGACAGAGGGCACAGGCCTCAGGATTCAGAGGCGAAGGGTCCGAGAACACCTCCCGGGGGCTGCTGGCCTTAGCCGGCTGCGCTGAGGGCTAGAGTCCGAGGAAGATGCCTGCTCTGAGCCCCTTGAAACAAGCAGAAGGGCTGAAACCACTGGCATGGCTCAGTGGATCGAGCGTCGGCCTGAGGACTGAAAGGTCCCAGGTTCGATTCCGGTCAAGGGCATGTACGTTGGTTGTGGGCACATCCCCAGTAGGGGGTGTGCAAGAGGCAGCTAATCGATGTTTCTCTCTCATTGGTGTTTCTAACTCTCTATCCCTCTCTGTAAAAAAATCAATAAAAATATAAAAAAATAAATAAATCGGAAATATTGAAATGGAATCCTAAAATTTTTTTTAAAAAAAAAATAAGCAAAAGCTTGATGCTAGGAGGTACCCCGTCTGAGCTTGGACACATTCTACCCTGATCAGCCAGGAATTCCAGAAAGAGCCAAATGGACACACATATTTCCGGTGCCGGGGCCTGGGCCTGGGCCACCAGGCTTTCCGTGTCCTCCCTCAGGCAGCCAGCATCAGGCCAGTGGAGATGGCGTGGGGAACAGCGGCAGAGGGAACAGCATGAGCGAGGGCTCAGAGGTGGGAAAGCGAGCCACCTGCGGCTCTTTGGCCCCTTGAGTGTGGCTCTTCCACAAAATACCACGGCCTGGGCGAGTCTATTTGGAAGAAGTGGCGTTAGGAGAAGTTTAAGTTAAAAAATTTGGCTCTCGCCCTGACCGTTTTGGCTCAGTGGACAGAGCATCAGCCTGCAGACTGAAGGGTCCGGAGCTCCAGGATGGAACCCGCAACCCTTTTGTGCAGGCGATGAGCCACACCGGCCAGCGGGAGAGAGTCACCAGGGTAAACCCTTTGCACACGCAGATGAAAAGGGAATCCTTTTCAGAGGAACAGACAGGGCCCGTCAGCCTGGAACGAAAGGCCGGGCGGGAGGCCGCTCCAGGGCAGCGCTCCCTTCTCGCTGTGCCTGCAGGGCGCCCTGGGTGACCCCTGAGCCGCCCTCTCCTGTTCCCTGGGCGTCCTTTGGGGGAGACACTTGCCAACGAAGAGCCGCAGATGGCGGGGGCTGGACAGGTCTCCCCAGGGACGGGAGCCAGCAGAGGTGCCTAACACTGACCTCCGATTTCCGGTGGGAGCCACATCCGGTCCTTTAAAGAGCTGGGACCCGCTACCCCTGAGGGCCTGTCTCCCCGACTGCAATAGTCCAGCTCCCTTTTTCCCAAGAGAAGCAGGTGGTCATTCAAGTTCAGCTGAGGAGGGTGGGCTGGCACCTGTGACTTCCCAGAACCAGTCCTTCCATGGCCATGGGCCTCCCAGGGAATGTCTGGCTCCTTTATCTACCCCACCAGGCCTGGCGCTGTGTTGGCAGCCAGCTCCCAGAGGGGGTGTGGGGAACGGGCGGGGCTGGCAGGGAGCCTCTGTCCATTTCCGCCGTCAGCGCCGGGGAGGCGGGTGTGACATCCGGAGCAGCTGCAGCCACTTTGGGATGAGAGGAGCGCAGCACCCCGCGACCAGGGTGGAGCCCGAGGGGAGGCCCGGTCCCTGAGGCTCTGGGGCCACCCCACCTGGGCCTTCTTGTTCGGGGTGTGGCTCCTCTCCCTCTCCCTTAACGTTTCCTCACTGTGAAGTCTAGGTTTGGGTTTTCTGTCCTGTGGCTGAAAGGATCCCACTGAAGTGTGTATGTGCACGTGTGTATGTGCATGTGCGCATGTGTGTGTGTGTGTGCGCGCGCGCACGCACACGTGTGCAGTGGACTCCTCAGGAGAAAACAGAAAGATGCCCGGAGGCAGCCTCTCGGAAAAGCTTGGGCTGAACCTTAAAGAACGAGCAGGACTTGGGTTCTCAGAGGGAACAGCAGCTGCAAACACAGAGGCTGGTCCAGTCCGGGAGGTGTATTTGACGGCGCTGGACACACAGCAGGACACACAGCAGTGAGGTGAGGCCGGGAGGGCCTGGGCCTCCCTCTGAGGCTCGGGGGGGGGGGGGCCTGATCCTGGGGGGACGGGGTTCAGCTCTGAGACCCTCCAGCGGCTGCGCGGGCGAGGGGCGGGGGCCCGGCCACCAGGGAGGGGTCGAGGCCGAGGAGGCCGAAGGCCGGGGTCAGGGGGTCGGCCCTCCAGGTGGCGGCGGATCGTCTGCTGCCGGGCCCCGGGGCGGGGCCACCCGCCGTCCTCCAGGCGTCGCCGGTCCCACACGAGGCGGAGGACCGTGTCGGGGACCCCCACCCCTCCCAAAGCAGCAAACAGGGGCCCACAGCGGCAGCGAGGGGTGCAGGATGCTGCAGTGGCCCCGACCCGGAGCGGCAAGGCAGGGACACCACAGCCTTGCCCCCTGGGAGGGAGGGGGCCCCGAGGCCAGCTGACCCCGTGAAGGTCCCACTGAGCACAGGAGCCCGGAGGCTGAGCAGCAGGTGGGGCTGGTGGTGACGGGGGAGGAGCCGCCTCATCGGCTCCCCCGGTGACAGTCCCCGGCCTCCGTCAGCCGGGAGCCAGAGGCCGCGCTCCCCGAGATCACAGGTGCTGGGGATCCAGCGGGGGCAGCTCGGGGGGCTGTTCCAGAACCTTCTTCTCCGAAGCAACTGCGTCCTTCTGGTCACTGGCGGGAGCTGGCACAGGAGCATCATCTGGAGATGAAGGGAGGAAACGGTGGCACTAGACATCCCACCCGCCTCCCTCAGACCCAGGCATCCGGTCCCCATCCCTCCTCCCTCAGACCCAGGGGTCCAGGCCCCCAGCCCCTCCTCCCTCAGACCCAGGCATCCGGTCCCCATCCCTCCTCCCTCAGACCCAGGGGTCCAGGCCCCCAGCCCCTCCTCTCTCAGACCCAGGAGTCCAGGCCTCCAGTCCCTCCTCCCTCAGACCCAGGAGTCCAGGCCCCCAGCCCCTCCTCTCTCAGACCCAGGAGTCCAGGCCTCCAGTCCCTTCTCCCTCAGACTCAGGGGTCCAGGCCCCCAGCCCCTCCTCCCTCAGGCCCAGGGGTCCAGGCCCCCAGCCCCTCCCCCGCCTGGGGGCAGGCTGGCACCTGTGTGGTGGGGCTGGAACTTGAGCTGTCCCTCGGGCCCAGGGGCTGGGGCATTGTGTTCTTGCTGCTGCTGCTGCTGCTTCCTCTGTTCCATTTGCAGAACCGCCTGTGGGGGGTGAGGGTCACACAGCAAGAGGGTGAGTCCCCCATCCTGCCAAGGGCTCCTCGTCCTTTCTCTGCGGGGCTCAGTTCTTCCTCATTGGCACTTGGGTTTAATAATAAAGACCCCACTCAAGCCCTGGCTGGTTTGGCTCAGTGGGTAGACGACCTGCAGACTGAAAGGTCCCAGGTTCGATTCCAGTCAAGGGCATGTACATTGGTTAAGGGCACATCCCCTGGGGAGGTGTGCAGGAGGCAGCTGATCGATGTTTCTAACTCTCTATCCCTCTTCCTTCCTCTCTGTAAAAAATCAATCCCCGTTCAACCTCCCTCGTCATGGCCTGGGTTGCACTTTGGGCAGAAAAGCCCTCCTTGAACTCCTACTGGAATCTACCTTTGTCCCTGCTTTCCCCACTTTCTCCCTCTTACAACCCCTGCCGTTATCCAACACTAGAGGCCTGGTGTAGGAAATTCATGTCCCTCAGGCCAGCCTGCATCCTTTCTAATCTGGGACCCCTCGAGGGATGTCCAACTGCCCGTTTAGACCGGTTCCCAGTAGGATCAGGCCTAAACGGGCAGTCGGACATCCCTCTCACAATCTAGAACTGCTGGCCCAACTGCTCACCTGCCTGCCTTTCTGATTGCCCCTAACCGCTCCTCTGACAGCCTGATTGATGTCTAACTACTCCCCTGCCAGCCTGTTTGCCTCTAACTGCCCTCCCCTGCAGGCCTGTGTCCTGCCCAACTGCCCTCCCCTGCAGGCCTGATCACCCCCAACTGCTCTCCCCTGCAGGCTTGATTGCCTCCAACTGCTCTCCCCTGCAGGCCCGGGTCCCACCCAACTGCCTTTCCCTGCAGGCCTGGTTACCCCAAATTTCTCTCCTCTGCCAGCTTGGTCACTGCTAACTGTCCACCCCCGCAGGCTTGATTGCCCCCAACTGCCCTCTCTTGCAGGCCTGGTCCCTCCCAACTGCCCTCCTCTGCTGACCATCTTTTGTCCACATAGGGGCAGGATCTTTGACCATCTTGTGTGTTGGAGTGATGGTCAATTTGCATATTACTCTTTTATTAGATAGGATAGAGGCCTGGTGCAGGGGTGGAGGCCAGGTGTGCCCTGAAGGGTGTCCCGGATCAGGGTAGGTGTTCCCTTGGGGTGTGGGGTGGCCTGGGTGAGGGGCCTGTGGTGGTTTAGAGGCTGGCCACGCCCCCTGGTGACCCATGTGAAGACCCTGGTATTTGGGATTTATGTAACTTCTACAATTGAAGCTTTGCAGCCTAGAGTGGAGCCCAGCCTTTTGCTTGCTCCATGTCTGCTGCCATTTCTGTTGAAACTTATTTATCTTCTATAATTGAAACTTTGTAGTCTGGATTGGAGGCCTAGACCAGCCAGAGCTGCAGAAACTTGGCTTCCTCCATCGCTGGCGGCAACCCTGCTCTTCCAGCTCCATGGCTGCCGCCATTTCTGTTTGATCTGTTTACCTTCTGTAACTGAAACTTCGTAGCCTCGAGTGGAAGCCTGGGCCGGGGAAACCCACGCCTCCCTCCTACTCTCTGTGGCTGCAGCCATATTCACTGGGTTTATTTGCATATTTGCTCCTGATTGGCTTGTGGGTATAGCGGAGGTATGGTCAATTTGCATATTGCTCTGTTATTAGATAGGATGGCAGCTGTGGAGCTGTCAGGGCGGGACTTTGATGGGAAGACTGATCGGTGATTGAACATCTGGACACACGGGCCCAGGCCCCAGGGCGTCACCTGCTGCAGCTCTCTCTTCTGGGCCTCCAGGCGGCCCTGGGAGCGGCCCAGGGCCTCCGTCTCCTGGCTGAGGCGCTGGGCCTGGGCGTTCAGCTCGGCCTCCCGGGCCGCCAGCTCCTCCTCGAAGCGCCTGAGCTCCTCCTCCGTGTAGGCAGGGTGCATCTCCACCGTCTGGGAGGGGTGAGGGGAGGGGCTGTTAGCAGGGACCCGGCGCGGCCGCCCCTGTGGAGGGCTCTGCCTGGAGGGCTGGGGGCTGGGAGGCCCGCCCTGGGGGCCGGCAGGGGCATGGAGACCAGGGAGAGCGGAGGACAGAGGGGCTGTGTGTGGGATTGGGGGGGTGGGGGTGGGGGGTCCAGTGCCTAAGAGCAGCGGCCTTGGCTGGGAGAGACACGACCTTACCTCCCAGCCCTCCCCGTTGTCCCCGAAGTCCTTCCTCTGGGTGGACGCGAGGAACTCCTCCAGGGTCACCAGGCGGTCCTGGTTCGTGTCCACCTGGGGAGCAAGGGGAGGGTGAGCCACAGAGCTGCGCCCCCCCCCCCCGTCCCCAGCCCCCTCCCTCCAGGCCCGGCTCCCCCCTCACGTTCTTCATCACGTGCTCCCGCATGCGCAGCCGCTCCTCCTCCATCTCCCGCATGTCGTCCTCCTCGTTCTTGGGGTCGTACACCTTCTCCAGCTGCAGAGTCCAGCGGGAGGGAGGACATGTGGACGGGTCCAGGGCAACCTCTTTCCCAAGCTACGCCACCTCCCTACCCACGCTGACGCCCATGAGACCTTGGGGCACCCTGACATTCTCGGTGAGCCTTTTTCCCCCCCACTCTTTGCCCCTGGGGCTGCTGGGAGTTGTAGTTTTTCCTGAACTTACCACCAGGGGGCGCTAAGGAAGGACCACGTGGGTGACCCCAGACACTCACCTCCTTGGTGAAGAGAGCCTCCAGCTCCTGCTCATCCAGGACACCGTCACTGTTGATATCTGAGGGAAGACCACACACACAGATCTTGGGGGGCTGAGGATGGGGTGGGTCAGGCCCCTGAGGGACCAGCTGGAGGAGGAATCTGGGCTGAGACGGGATCTGTTGTAGAGGACAGGTAACAAGTCTCCAGCTTCAGTGCCTCCCCCACCCCAGGCCTCCTGCTAGGACAGTCCATTCCCTTCTAACCAGGGTCCCAGGAATGGAGGAGAGGAAGGTGGGACCGTTCTTGGGGCCGCTGTCATGCAGGATGACTGGATCCCGAAGGAGTTAGGGATCAACCCCTCTGCACAGGATCCTGGGGTTTCCAATTCCTTAGCGGGAAGAGCCACATTTCAAGTGCTGCATGGTCACGTGGGGGGGGTGGCTGCTGTACAAAGGCCATCGGAACACAGAGCATTGCCATCGGCGTGGAAGGGTCTACTGGACCAGCGGTCGGCAAACCGTGGCTCTCGAGAGCCACATGAGGCTCTCGAGCCGCGGTGTGCCGCTCTGTTGACTAATGAGTTTGCCGACCACTGGCCTCGACAATGCTGGTCCAGAAAGCCTTTCCTGACCAGGCTACCAAAAATGGCCATTCTGGGGTCTTAACCCTGTGGTCCTCACTTACAGAGGCCAGAGCCTCAGAATCCAGCCTGGGTCTTAGGACACCCTCCCCACCTTACCATGCAGTATGAAGAAGGTCTTGGGGTTAAACCTGTTGGGGTCCAATCCATCCAGCTCCTCCCACACCTCCTTCAACTGGGCTTGGCTGCCCTGTGGAGGTGAGAGCGAGGGGCTCATGAGTAAGAAGAGATGAAGCTAGGGAACCCTAGATGCCCCCATCTCTCAAAGTCATTGGCCCGCGATCAAGAAAACTACAACTCCCAGAAGCCCCTGGGCAGAGGTAGGCACATTAAAAGGGACTCTTGCCCCAGGGTCTGCTGGGAGTTGTAGTTTTTCAGCTACATCCTTGCTTTGTGGAGCTTAAGGAATTAGACGTGGGGTGTGGGGGGGATGTCAGGGAAGGTGGGTGCGAATGATGTTCCTCACAGGCACGTTGACTTTGGGGTGCTCTCGGTGCCGGCGCTGTTGCTCTTCCAGCTTCCTCTCCGCCTCCTTCCGCTGCTCCTCCCCCAGCGACTCCAGGTAGCGGCGCCTCTCGTGTTCCTTGAGCATCTCGTAGCGTTTGAACTCTTCATGATGGGCCGCATCGTACTGGGCCAGGTCCCGGGTGGCCTGGGGGAGGCAGACAGTCACCTCGTCTCACCTCTACGTCCGGGGTCAAATGTGACACCTTCAAATGCCAGGCTGTTGACTCAGAACCTGGGTCGCCTGTCCTGATCTCACGGCACTTGGTCTCTGGCTCACTCTTGCCCCATAACACGGCCTCTTTGTTCAAAAGAGATTAGGAGGGTTCCTTTAACTCACCTCTTTCAAGTCCCCCACAATGTCAAGATCTTGGAGAAATAAATAATTTATTTATTTTATTTATTTTTATCTTTTATTGATACTTTACAGAGAGGAAGGGAGAGGGATAGAGAGCTAGAATCATCAATGAAAAGAAACATTGAACAGCTGTCTCCTGCACACCCCCCACCGGGGATGTGCCTGCACCCAAGGTACATGTCCTTGACCGGAATCTAACCTGGAACCCTTGAGTCCGCAGACCAACGCTCTATACACTGAGCCAAACCGGCTTCGGCAATCCCTGCCTTTTTTTTTAAGATTGAAAAATATATATTTTTTTGCCCTAACCGGTTTGGCTCATTGGATAGAGTGTCAGCCTGTGGACTGAAGGGTCCCGGGTTCGATTCCAGTCAAGGGCATGTACCTTGGTTGCAGGCTCCTCCCCAGTGTGGGGCGTGCAGGAGGCGGCTGACCGGTGTTTCTCTCTCATCTGATGTTTCTAACTCTCTATCCCTCTCTCTTCCTCTCTGTAAAAAAATCAATAAAATATATTTTTTAATAAAGAAAATATAAATATATATATATATTATTGATTTCAGAGAGAAAGGGAGAGGAAGAGAGAGATAGAAACATCAGTTATGAGAGAGAATCATTAATCAACTACCTCCTGCATGCCCCCCACTGGGGATTGAACCCACAACCCGGGCCTGTGCCCTTGACTGGAAATTGTACCATGTTCATAGGTGTCACCGAGCCACACTAGCTGGACTTTTTTTTTTTTTAATTTAAAGATTTTATATATCTATATATCTATATCCACCTTTATATAGATAGATAGATAGATATAGATATATAAAATGATTTCAGAGAGAAGGGAGAAGGAGAGAGAGAAACATCGATGAGGAGAGAGACTCACTGATCAGCTGCCTCTCGCAGGCCCACACTGGGATCGAGCCTGCAACCTGGGCCTGTGCCCGGACCAGGAATTGAACCGGGGACCCTCCTGGTTCATAGGTCAAAGCTCAACTACCGAGCCACCTTGGCCGGTCTTTAAAGACGTTTTCATTGATTTTTTTGAAGAGAGAGGAAGGGAGAGACAGAGAGAGAGAGAGAGACATCTTTCATCTGCCTGCCCCCCACCAGGGATCAAAACTGGAACGGGGCATGCGCCCTGACCAGGAATCAAACTGGCAGCCCCTCGGGGTGCAGGCCGGCGCCAGCCAGCTGAGCCACACCGGCCAGGCCGGCTGGCAGGAGTCTGGTGAGGGCCATTATTCTGCCTCCCAGGGCACAGCGCCCACCCCCAGCCACGCGGGGAAGCCAGAGCCCAGGAGGGATGAGGCCAGGTCTGGGTGGAACCGAGCCCGTGCTGCTGCCTTCACTCTGGGAAGGGGTTTTACCGAAAATAAGACATCCCCTGAAAAAAAGACCTAGCGCATCTTTGGGAGCAAAAATGAATATAAGACACTGTCTTATTTTCGGGGAAGCAGGGTAGATTGCCCCAGGCCCTCTCCAGTGCCGGCCTCGGGAATGCCAGGCAGAGGTGAGCGGCCTGCGTCCCGGGCTCTGTGCCCCCCTCCATCCCCCCCAGAGCTCCCTGTCCCCCGCCTGTGCCCCCCTCACGCTACCGTCTGGATCAGCAGCTCCAGGTCCCGGGCCTCGAACGTGTGCTGGTTCTGAGGATCCAGGTGCTCGAACTGCTTCAGGAGGCCCAGGTGATCCAACTGTGCGTCTGAAGGAGGGGAAAGAAGGGGAAACTCAGCTCACAGAACGTTCCTTCAAAATCCCTGCCCTGGCCCTGACGGTGTGGCTCAGTGGATAGAGCGTCGGCCGCGGACTCAAGGGTCCCAGGTTCGATTCCGGTCAAGGGCAGGTACCTTGGATGCGGGCACATCCCCAGTAGGGGGTGTGCAGGAGGCAGCTGGTCGATATTTCTCCCTCATTGATGTTTCTTTTTTTTTTTTTTAATATATTTTATTGATATTTTACAGAGAGAAGAGAGAGAGGAAGAGAGCTAGAAACGTCTGAGGGAGGAGGGCTGGGGCCTGGACCCCTGGGTCTGAGGGAGGAGGGGCTGGACCCGCACTTCTGTTCACTGGCCCCGCCCCCAGCCCCACCCCTGCTCCCTGGCCTGCCCCCCCAGCCCCTCCCCTGCTCACTGGGCTCCTTCCCCCCCAGCCCCACCCCTGCTCCCTGGGCTCCTGCCCCCAGCCCCACCCCTGCTCCCTGGCCTGCCCCCCCAGCCCCACCCCTGCTCACTGGGCTCCTTCCCCCCCAGCCCCACCCCTGCTCACTGGGCTCCTTCCCCCCAGCCCCACCCCTGCTCACTGGGCTCCTTCCCCCCAGCCCCACCCCTGCTCCCTGGCCTGCCCCCCCCAGCCCCTCCCCTGCTCCCTGGCCCCGCCCCCAGCCCCACCCCTGCTCCCTGGCCTGCCCCCCCAGCCCCACCCCTGCTCCCTGGGCTCCTGCCCCCAGCCCCACCCCTGCTCCCTGGCCTGCCCCCCAGCCCCACCCCTGCTCCCTGGCCTGCCCCCCCAGCCCCTCCCCTGCTCACTCGGCCTGCCCCTCAGCCCCACCCCTGCTCACTGGGCTCCTGCCCCCAGCCCCACCCCTGCTCCCTGGGCTCCTTCCCCCCCAGCCCCTCCCCTGCTCCCTGGGCCTGCCCCCAGCCCCACCCCTGCTCACTGGGCTCCTGCTCCCCCAGCCCCACCCCTGCTCCCTGGGCTCCTGCCCCCAGCCCCACCCCTGCTCCCTGGGCTCCTGCCCCCAGCTCCACCCCTGCTCCCTGGGCTCCTGCCCCCAGCCCCACCCCTGCTCCCTGGGCCTGCCCCCAGCCCCACCCCTGCTCCCTGGGCCTGCCCCCAGCCCCACCCCTGCTCCCTGGGCCTGCCCCCAGCCCCACCCCTGCTCACTGGGCTCCTGCCCCTCAGCCCCACCCCTGCTCATTGGGCCTGCCCCCAGCCCCACCCCTGCTCCCTGGGCCTGCCCCCAGCCCCACCCCTGCTCACTGGGCCTGCCCCCAGCCCCACCCCTGCTCCCTGGGCTCCTGCCCCCAGCCCCACCCCTGCTCCCTGGCCTGCCCCCAGCCCCACCCCTGCTCCCTGGGCTCCTGCCCCCCAGCCCCACCCCTGCTCACTGGGCTCCTGCCCCCAGCCCCACCCCTGCTCCCTGGGCTCCTGCCCCCAGCCCCACCCCTGCTCACTGGGCTCCTGCCCCCAGCCCCACCCCTGCTCCCTGGGCCTGCCCCCAGCCCCACCCCTGCTCCCTGGGCCTGCCCCCCCAGCCCCACCCCTGCTCCCTGGGCTCCTGCCCCCAGCCCCACCCCTGCTCCCTGGCCTGCCCCCAGCCCCTCCCCTGCTCACTGGGCTCCTGCCCCCAGCCCCACCCCTGCTCCCTGGGCCTGCCCCCAGCCCCACCCCTGCTCACTGGGCTCCTGCCCCCAGCCCCACCCCTGCTCCCTGGGCCTGCCCCCCGCCCCACCCCTGCTCCCCGGGCTCCTGCCCCCAGCCCCCCCCCTGCTCCCTGGGCTCCTGCCCCCAGCCCCTCCCCTGCTCACTGGGCCTGCCCCCAGCCCCACCCCTGCTCATTGGGCCTGCCCCCAGCCCCACCCCTGCTCCCTGGGCTCCTGCCCCCAGCCCCTCCCCTGCTCACTGGGCCTGCCCCCAGCCCCCCCCCTGCCCCCTGGGCCTGCCCCCAGCCCCACCCCTGCTCCCTGGGCCTGCCCCCAGCCCCTCCCCTGCTCACTGGGCTCCTGCCCCCAGCCCCTCCCCTGCTCACTGGGCTCCTGCCCCCAGCCCCACCCCTGCTCACTGGGCTCCTGCTCCCAGCCCCTCCCCTGCTCACTGGGCTCCTGCTCCGCGTCCATCTTGGCCTTGAGCAGCATCCGAAGTCGGGACACCTCCTGCCGCTTGAGCTCGTCCAGCTTGGTGCGGACGTGATGGCTGACAAAGTCCAGCTCCCGGCTCAGCTTCCCGCTCTGGAGAGAGGGGCACGGTCAGGGGGAGGGGGAGAGGGGCACGGTCAGGGGGAGGGGGAGAGGGGCACGGTCAGGGGGAGGGGGAGGGGGAGAGGGGCACGGTCAGGGGGAGGGGGAGAGAGGGGCACGGTCAGGGGGAGGGGGAGAGGGAGAGGGGCACGGTCAGGGGGAGGGGGAGGGGGGCACGGACAGGGGGAGGGGGAGAGGGGCACGGTCAGGGGGAGAGGGGCACGGTCGGGGGAGGGGGAGAGGGGCACGGTCAGGGGGATGGGGAGGGGGGCACGGTCAGGGGGAGGGGGAGAGGGAGAGGGGCACGGTCAGGGGGAGGGGGAGGGGGGCACGGACAGGGGGAGGGGGAGAGGGGCACGGTCAGGGGGAGAGGGGCACGGTCGGGGGAGGGGGAGAGGGGCACGGTCAGGGGGATGGGGAGGGGGGCACGGTCAGGGGGAGGGGGAGAGGGGGGCACGGTCAGGGGGAGGGGGAGGGGGGCACGGACAGGGGGAGGGGGAGAGGGGCACGGTCAGGGGGAGAGGGGCACGGTCAGGGGGAGGGGGAGAGAGGGGCACGGTCAGGGGGAGGGGGCACGGTCAGGGGGAGGGGGAGAGGGGCACGGTCAGGGGGAGGGGGAGAGGGGCACGGTCAGGGGGAGGGGGAGAGGGGCACGGTCAGGGGGAGGGGGGGAGAGGGGCACGGTCAGGGGGAGGGGGGGAGAGGGGCACGGTCAGGGGGAGGGGGAGAGGGGGGCACGGGCAGGGGGGGGGGGGGAGAGGGGCACGGTCAGGGGGAGGGGGGAGAGGGGCACGGTCAGGGGGAGGGGGAGAGGGGCACGGTCAGGGGAGGGGGAGAGGGGCACGGTCGGGGGAGGGGGAGAGAGGGGCACGGTCAGGGGGGGGGGAGAGAGGGGCACGGTCAGGGGGAGGGGAGAGGGGCACGGTCGGGGGAGGGGGAGAGGGGCACGGTCAGGGGGAGGGGGAGGGGGAGAGGGGCACGGTCAGGGGGAGGGGGAGGGGGAGAGGGCACAGTCAGGGGGAGGGGGAGAGGGGCACGGTCAGGGGGAGGGGGAAGGGGAGAGAGGGGCACGGTCAGGGGGAGGGGGAAGGGGAGAGAGGGGCACGGTCAGGGGGAGGGGGAGAGGGGCACGGTCAGGGGGAGGGGGGAGGGGGGCACGGTCAGGGGGAGGGGGAGGGGGAGAGAGGGGCACGGTCAGGGGGAGGGGGAGGGGGGAGAGGGGCACGGTCAGGGGGAGGGGGAGAGGGGGCACGGTCAGGGGAGAGGGGGGGCAGGGGGAGGGGGGAGAGGGGCACGGTCAGGGGGAGGGGGAGAGGGGCACGGTCCGGGGGAGGGGGAGGGGGAGAGGGGCACGGTCAGGGGGAGGGGGAGAGGGGCACGGTCAGGGGGAGGGGAGGGGGAGAGAGGGGCACGGTCAGGGGAGGGGGAGGGGGAGAGTGGCACGGGTCAGGGGGAGGGGGAGAGGGGCACGGTCAGGGGGAGGGGGAAGGGAGGGAGAGAGGGGCACGGTCAGGGGGAGGGGAGAGAGGGGCACGGTCAGGGGGAGGGGGAGGAGAGGGGCACGGTCAGGGGAGGGGAAGAGGGGCAGGTCCGGGGGAGGTGCACGGTCAGGGGTGGAGGGGGAGAGGGGCAGGGTCAGGGGGAGGGGGAGAGAGGGGCCCGGTCAGGGGAGGCGGGGCAGGCACGGGCTCCTGGAACCTCCCACCTGCTCCCTCGTGCCCCCGAGGGCCCCAGGGAGGCCCCAGACACGGTCCTGGCCCCTCAGGTCCTGGCCCCTCAGGTGGGCGTTCGGCCTGCCCGTCCCTGTCCCCGCCTCCCGCCACTCATCCCACCACCGGTTCCAGCGACTGTCACTGGGGGCAGGGCCACCCGGGCCTCTCACAGCGGGGCCTCTGCGGGACGCCTCCCACCCTGCTTCCCAGGCCCGACCCACCCTCCTGTCCCGCCAGGGACACTCCTCTGAGGCGGGCATGATCAGGGCGGATCCTCCTGGAGCGGAAAGCTCTGTGCTCGGTGCTGAGCGCTCAGGCACTCACTCAGGAGGACACCTACGGCGGCTGCCGAAACCCTGTGCAGGTCTAGCCTGCGACACACCAAACCCGAACCCGTTTCACAGCGGGGAAACTGAGGCACGGCAAGGGGAGGTCACCGAGCTGGTAGGCGGCGGAGCTGAGGCTGGGAGCCGGGACCTCCGCCCCGGCGCCGAACCACACACTGTTCCCCAAGTCAAGGTGACCAGGCGTCCCGATTTTGGCGGGACAGTCCCGATCTCTAACAATCAGTCCCGCGGCGTTTTAAAAATCGCCGCGGGACGCGGGACAAAAAAATTGGGACTTTTAAATTTATTTTTAATTAATTCATTTATCTATTTAAAATATATTTTATTGATTTTTTTTTTTTTTTTTTTTTTTACAGAGGCGAAGGGAGAGAGATAGAGAGCTAGAAACATTGATGAGAGAGAAACATCCATCAGCTCCTCGTGCACACCCCCCACTGGGGATGTGCCTGCAACCAATGTACATGCCCTTGACCGGAATCGAACCCGGGACCCCTTAGTCCGCGGGCCGACGCTCTATCCATTGAACCAAACCGGTTAGGGCAAATCGGGACTTTTTTAAAACGTCGCGGGACACGGGACAAATTGTTAGAAATCGGGGCTGTCCCGCTAAAAGCGGGATGTCTGGTCATCTTACCCAAGTCCCTTGCCGGTGTGTGCGGGCCGGAGCCACGGGGCCCCCGACACCCTGGCCCTGAGCCCACCTTGATGTCCTCGGCGTTGGCGGCCTGCAGCTTCTCGCGGAAGTGCCCGTCCGTCTCCAGCACGTTGATGACCTCCTGCAGGTAGCGGTGATAGTACAGGCCGGTGTCCTGGGAGGGAAGGGGGGCCGAGGAGCTCAGTCCCTGCACCCTGCTCCACGGCGTCCCCACTGGGAGCAGGAGGCCGGCCCCCGGGTAAAGCGCTGCATCTGCAGCCAGCAGCCGCTCCGTAACCCCGGGCACCTGCTGACCCCCGGGCCCGGCTCTCACCTCGGCCCAGGTCTGCAGTGGAGACAAAACGTGTGTCACAAGGGCAAAGGCGAGCCCAACGCCGCTCACCACGTGGGGCTTCCCGAGCAGACGCACTGGTACTTACTGGCGAGCAGAGAACACGCGTGCATTCATTCATTCATTCATTCATTCAGCATCCTCCGAGCCCTGCCACGTGGCAGGTGCTGCTACAGGGGAGACGGCTAGTGAACCAGACAGACATGAAGTGCCGAAACCGGTGTGGCTCAGTGAATAGAGCCTCGACATGCAGATTGAAAGGTCTCAGGTTCGATTCCCGTCAAGGGCATGTACGTTGGTTGCAGGCTCCTCCCCAGGTGGGGGGTGTGCAGGAGGCAGCTGATCGATGTTTCTCTCTCATCGATGTTTCTAACTCTCTAGCCCTCTGCCTTCCTTTCTGTAAAAAGTCAATAAAATATTTTTTTGGGGGGGGGAGAGGGGGGAAGATGCCAACTCAGTCACACCCAAACACGCTTTCTCCACAGAAGGTAATATATATGTAAGCTCAAGGGATGAGGGCGGGGACATCTCTGGGGACCATTTTTCAGCCAAACACAGTGGCTGAAGTCTTGTCAGGACTGCCAGGTTGCCTCAGCATCCTGTGTTTACTTGCTGAAACCGGCAACCTTAGTCCTCGAACAAGTTACTCAGTCCCTCTGCGCCTCAGTTTCCTCACCCACCTGCTGATGTCTATAACATCCTGTGCTTTCCACGAGTCTCAGTGCAAAGACCTTCTGTACCATGGCCCACAGGCCCCACGTGACCTGCCTGGGCCCCTCTCTGGCTCACTCAGCTCCAGCCACACTCGCCTTTCCCACCTCACAGCCTTTGCCCAGCCTACTCCCTCCGCCCGGAATCCGAGGGCCCTCCCTGAACTTCAGATCTCCCCTCAACGGCCATCACTCCTCCTGTCCGTTTGCAGGAGCCCAGCGAGCTAGGCTGGCCTGGGACGGGACTGGGCTTGCGTTAGCCCTGAGCTTGGCTCACAGGAGATGCTCAAGAAAGGTGTGAAGTGAATAAGGAAAAGATGCCTGTAGGGAGCGGCTATAGGCTTAAGCTTCGGACTGAACTGCTGGCAAAGCCATAGACAAGTCCCAGCTTAGAGGGCACAGCCCGATTAGCTAATTAAGCTTGTCCTTAAGGCTCTCCCTAGATCCCTCCTGGGCAGCTAAAGGGCAGTGGGAGGTGCAGCGAGTGCTGCCAAAACAAGTGAAACTCACAGGAACATAGTAACTATGGTGACCCCTACCTTGTTTACCTCTGGCTATAAAATAAAGGCTCAGCCCTGGCTGGTTTGGCTCAGTGGACAGAGCATAGACCTGTGGACTGAAGGGTCCCGGATTCGATTTCCGGTCAGGCTCAGTCCCCAGTGGGGGGTATGCAGGAGGCAGCTGATCCATGATTCTCTCATCATTGATGTTTCTCTCTCTCTCTCTCTCTCTCCCTTCCTCACTCTGAAATCAGTAAAAATATATTTAAAAATTTTTTTAAATAAAGGCTCAGCCTGCTGTCTGGATCTTCTCTCTGTGGCCTCAGCCAGACCCAGCTTATTCTCTTTGTCTGTCTTTTCTACATCCTTGGCCGCCCTCCCTCAGGCTCCCGGAACCCTTGGCTGTGCTGGCACAGCACAGGTGCCCTTCTGTGTCTGCCAAGATTTCCCTGGGCAGAGGCCTCAGTCACTGGGTGGGGATCAGCCACACAGGAGCCTGGCACAGTCTGTCCCAGAGATAGTGACAGGCCGGTTCCTAGAGGGAGGATTCCGGTCATAAATCAGGGCCTGGCCTGGAGGAAATCGTTCAAGTTCCAAGTACCAAACGCCCTAAGGGCAAATGTTTCCCAGCGATGGATACAAACCTACGTATTGGATTACTTAACCGATCGGTTCCTAAGCCCCTTTGTCACTGGGACTACAACTGCCAGGAGCTCCAGGAAGTGAGCGCTGCCCGGCGAGCTGACAACACAACAACACCTGTTCAAGGTGCTACTGGGAAATGTAGTTCTTTTGTTCAAATTCCTGCTTGAGGAGAGGGGAGTCCAAAATACCCCAGACAGAGAGGTTTAGGTGTGTGTGTGTGTGTGTAGCAGGGGAGAGGGGGAGGTGATGCCGACTTTTCACTCAATATCCGGTCTGATTTCCCACAGGTCGGAGTCAGGGACTTGGACATCTGCTCTTCCCCCCGCCCCCCCCCCGCCTCCCCCGAGCCGCAGTTTCCCCACGTCAAAGCCCGGCGACTACAGAGAATGGCCGGCAAACTCCACGCCGTGTGTGGGGTGGGGAGAGGGGGGAAAAGGGAAGGGGGGAGTGTCCATCCGGGGCCACGGGTCCGCCGGACGGCCGCAGCCCTGCGGACACCTGGCTGGCGGGCAGGGCGGGCCACTCACGGGGCTGTCGGTGGCGGGGCTCTCCTTGGGCGCCCCCCGCTCCAGGGGCACGGCCAGGGCGGCGCGGGGCAGCAGCAGCAGCAGCGGCGGCAGCAGGAGGAGGGCGGCGCGGGGCCCGGAGGGAGGCATGGCGGCCTGACCTGTGCGGGCGGAGCGTGGAGGACGTCTGTCCCAAGCCTCCTCCTTCCCTGGACCCGCAAGTCACCCCACACTCCCTCCTCCCAGCACCGCATGCTCTCCTCCCCTCCAAGAGTCAAGCATCAAAGCGGCTGGTTTTCCGGGACCCAACATCCCGAGCCTGCGGCCTGTCCTCCCTCAAACCCCAGAGTGCGGGCTCCCTGCAGCCTCTTCGCTCCCTGACTCAGGAGTCCGGGGTTTCAGGTCTGGGTGCCCCAGGCCCCCCCTTTTTTAATCCTACGATCTAGGAGAGCTGGTGCCCAGCTCATCTTCCTCCGGAACCCAGCCCCCAGCCCTCTAGCCCTCCATCTCCCCTCCTTCCCGGGACCCAGGAGCCTAGAGATCGCAGCCCCTCACCTCTCCTTCCCGCAGAGGGCGTTTTCCCGGGCTGGGAGCTCCGCTGCGATTTCCCCCCAGGCCACGCCCACTTTCCCGCCAAAGACCCGCCTCCGGCTATCTGATTGGCCCACGCTCGGTTCTTGCCTAGAGGCCCCGCCCCTTTTTGTCGAAGCCGCTCGCCTTTTCTCGAAAGACTCGCGCCTCCTTTCTCGGAAGCTCAAGCTCTTGACATTATTTCCTGCGCCTTAGGCGAAAGCGGCGTACGTAGACTTTCACGGCGAACTACAACCCCCTGCAGGCCCCGGGGTGAAATGACACAACTTCCGCACCATCTTGGCCCCTTTGCCTCATGGGAGTTGTAGTTTTCCCATGTGTGTTTTTTTTCTAGAAGTGGCGGCAAGTTACCAGTCCATAACAATGGTCCGGGTCGCCTGATAAGTTCCTTGTATGAGTGAGAGGGGTAGAGCGAGCCTGCGCGGCGACCTCTCCGCGGTCTCTTTAAGGAACACTCGCACCCCCTTCCAATTTAGAACCCCCTGAGCAGGGTAGCCTGGCTGCGGCCGAAGCCGGGGGTCATTGCTTTGTTGGAAGCTGAGCGCGAGGGAATCGGAGGGAGGGGATTGCGGGAGATCCGAGCAGGGGATCGCTCCTCGCTCGGAGCCCTCTTTATTCCCCTGCTTTATTTTCGCGGAGACCCAGAGAGTAGGTCCCCAGCTGCCCCTCAAATTAGTCAGGTATGTTTATAGAAGTTGGCCAAAGAGGCAGAGCAGGGGGCGGGCGGGGGTGGGGGTAGATGGGGATACATGGGTGCTGGTGGTCTGGTGTTTGGGGCCCAGATTTCTGAATTCCCAGCCTGGGTGTAGGAGAGAGGTATTTGGGGGAGAGAGAATTGGACTCCTGGGCCAAAAACTGGAATAAGGCCGCTGTTTCCCTGGACAGGAACAGGTGCTGGCATCCAGGCTTCCTGATTCCTGGATAAAATGTAGAGCTTAAGATCCGACGTTGGGGCGGGGGGGGGGGGGGGGGGGGAGAAACAGAGCCCATTGGGATGTGGGGCCTGAGTCCTGACTTCTCCTTGTTTCTCCAGAATGTCTCAGGAGAATGACCCGTGGAAAAAAGAGTGAGTAAGGCAGCAGGATGGGCAGGAGTGGACAAAGGGGTGCCCGGGGAACCGAGAGTTTGATTATGCCCCCACACTTTCAGCTCTGGCCCCTCACCGCCTTCGCAGGCTCAGCACCACCAGCCTTGCTGGGAGGGGCTGGGGGCCTGGACTTCTGAGTCCTGCCTAAAGGGAGCATCCTAAGATGAAGACCAATGGGTCAAGAGGGGAGGGGCTTGGACTCCTGGGTTCTGAGACCCGAGGGCCCTGGCGTCTGGGATTCTAGCCCATCGGTGCTGGGAGGAGCTTTACAACCGAGGGACAGGCTCAGAGTCTGTCTCCTCTGTGACCTCACAAGTGCTCAGAATCCTGACTTGGGCTGCCCATGGGGCAACCAAGCTGCCTTGCTTACTCTTGCCTCAAGCCTGCCTCTGTCTCAGGGTCCTGTGGGACGAGCTCGCTGCCATAAGGCTGCAGAAGCTGGAACAGCAGGTACTGTGCTGAGAACCCTCACACACACACACATACACACCCCCGGGGCCCCTTCACAGCTCCCTGGGAGCCCATCCCCAGGGACTTCAGGTTCTGCGATTGGGAGATGAGAAAGTAAGAATTCAGGGTCCTAAAGAAGCAGACCTTGGGGACGAGACCCCAAAACTTCTAAGGATCAAGGGCTCTGGGGCAGGAGGCCCAGGTCCTGGGGGCGGAAGGGACCAAGTGCTGAGGAAGGAGGAAAGGAGAGACTGAGGGCTTGGATTCCAAAAACTCTTCCACGGATACAGACCGCCTCCCCTCCCCCGGGGCTCCCCTCCCCCTGGGCTCCCTTCCCCCAGAACTCCCCTCCCCCAGGGCTCCCCTCCCCCATGGCCTCCCCTCCCCCAGAACTCCCCTCCCCCAGGGCTCCCCTCCCCCAGGGCTCCCCTCCCCCATGGCCTCCCCTCCCCCAGAGCTCCCCTCCCCGGGGACTCCCCTCCCCCGGAGCTCCCCTCCCCCAGATCTCCCCTCCCCCAGGGCTCCCCTCCCCCATGGCCTCCCCTCCCCCAGGGCTCCCCTCCCCCAGAGCTCCCCTCCCCCAGGGCTCCCCTCCCCCATGGCCTCCCCTCCCAGAGCTCCCCTCCCCGGGGACTCCCCTCCCCCGGAGCTCCCCTCCCCCAGGGCTCCCCTCCCCCATGGCCTCCCCTCCCCCAGGGCTCCCCTCCCCGGGGACTCCCCTCCCCCGGAGCTCCCCTCCCCCAGGGCTCCCCTCCCCCGGGGCTCCCCTCCCCCGGGGCCCTCCTCCCCCGGGGCTCCCCTCCCCCGGGGCTCCCCTTCCTCAGGCCCATTTTCACCCGAGTCTTCCGCAGGACTCCCGGCCCCCACACACCCCTTTCCCGCTCCCGCAGCGGCGGCTCTTTGAGAAGAAGCAGCGGCGGAAACGCCAAGATTTCCTCATGGTTAAGGCCAATCCTGACGCCTCCCTGCGGTCCTGCCGGCCGCGCCTGAGGTCGGAGCGCCTCGCGGGGAACAGCGGTGAGGGGACCCCCCCTCGGAGGCCAGGAGCGCCCGAGCAGAGCCCGCAAAAGCCGGAGTCACAGCAGCCAAGGGGGACCCCGGGGAGAGCGCGGGTGCGGGCCCTTTAAGGCCACGAGGGGCGGGGCCTGCGAGTCCGGGACCAACCAAAAGCGTGGGGCGGGGTCTGTGGAGGGCTGGGGCGGGTCCTGGCAGAGTTGGGGGGCGCGGCCTGGAAAAGCAGGACCAGAGCTGGAACTGGCAAAGCCGAGCGGGGACCTGGGTAACTTAGAAACCAGGTTCTACCGACCGAGAACCCGGCTGGCTTACAACAATTGAGGGATCTGGAAGAAAAAACAACAACGACAACCAATTGAGGGGTCGGGCTGTCCCCGCCTGAGCCTTGGAGTGAAGGTTGCGTTCAGAATGGGCCTCGGCGGCGGTGGTGTGGGGGGGCCATCCCGGCAGGGGCTGTGTCTGGGAGCCCAGCGAGGAGGCAGGTCTTCGCAGTTTAGAGGCCTCTGCCCTGTCTCCCAGGCCTCCGGAACCCTTTCCTCCGGGAGAACGTGCCGGAAGCACATCTGCACGCGGGTACCCACAGCGCCCAGGGCGTCATGAGCTGTGACGGCGATGGCCGCCCCGAGCCCAGCCCCTTGGCGTCCCCGACGGAAGCAGGTACTCGCAAGCCCTTAGGCCGCCTGTGTTCTAGAACTCCGCTCCCGCTAGAACCCAGGCGTCTGGAACCTCGCTCCTTGATCTGCAAATGAGCCTGGAGTGCCGACCCTTCCCCTCCTCACTCCCCCCACCCCCTTCCCAGGGTCTGCGCGCACACACACACCCGCCCAGGGACCCTGAAACCCACACCAAGTCCAGGTCTTGAACCTTCTCCTTCTCCAACACCCAGTCATCTGAGTCTCCAGCGCTCCCCTCCCCTAGGACCCGGTCTCCAGGGGCCTTCTCTCTCCTGCCTAACAGACGACTTCTACCCGGAGCTGGAGGAGGTCTTCGTGGACGATGTGCCCGCCTTCCGCCCTCCCTTCAGAGAGCCCCCGAGGATAAGACGCATGGGGGGTTGGATACCCCAACGACGACATGGTAATTTGGGGGACATCTTCAGGCCCTCTGCTCCCCTCCCCCACGGTAACCGCCTTTTTGAGGTATGGTTCGCACGCCATACAATTCACTCATTTGACGTGGACAATTCCACGGTCTTTAGTATGTTTGCAGAGATGCGCACCTATCGCCACAATCAATTTCCCTGCATTTTCACCACCCCCAGAGGAAAACTGTACCTCTTACCAGTCACCGGCGCCCCTTCTCCCTGCCCTAGGCAACCACCAACCTGCTTTCTGGCTCTTCTGATTTGCCTAGTCTCAATGTTTCAGATGAACAGAACATGATTTTTCAGGACAGGCTTCTCATGTTTGCATGTTTTTAAGGTTCATCTATGTTGTGGTATTATCAGTACTTCATTCCCTTTTATTCTTTTTTACAGAGAGGAAGAGGAAGGGAGATAGAGAGCTAGAAACATCGATGAGAGAGAATCATCAATCAGCTGCCTCTTGCACACCCTCTACTGGGGATGTGCCCGCAACCAAGTACATGCCCTTGACTGGAATCGAACCCGGGACCTTTCAGTCCGCAGACTGACGCTCTATCCTCTGAGCCAAACGGAGTTTGGCCTCCCTTTTATTCAGAGAAGAAAAGAGAGGGAGATAGAAACACCAATGAGAGAGAATTCTTGATTGTTTGCCTCCTGCACGCCCCCTACTGGGGTTGGAGCCCGTAACCTGGGCTTGTGCCCTTGACCAGAATTGAACTTGGGACCTTTCAGTCCACAGGCCAACGCTCTATCCGCTGAGCCAACCCAGCTAGAGCTTCCCTTTTGTTCTTTAATATTTCATTGCAATGACATTTTATTCTCATGACATGACTATTTCACTCTTGCAAAACAGGAATCATAATGATCACCCCAAAACTCCACTCTTCCTCCACCCCCATCCTAGGTCCCTAGTCTCTCCTCTGCTCTGTCTGGCACAAAGGAAAGGGGGAGCTCAAATCCCACACTGTCCTTAGGCCCAGGGCAGGCAGAGGCTTCTGGGCCTGAGTAGACCCCCTGCATATGAGGGAGGTCAGCGTCCCAGGCTCCTGGGACCCACGTGTCCCCAGCTCAGTCTTCTTCCGGCTTCTTCCATCCCTTAGAGTCCAGTGCAGAGGACGAGAACGATTCCCAGGATGGTGGAGATGAAGTCGAGTCGCCTGGAAGGGATGGTGATGGGGGAAGTGGAGACTCTGGCTCCAACAGGGTGAGAGGTGGCACAGCTCATCCAGATGGAGGCAGAGGAGGGTGGTGCTAAAATCCTGCAGCCAATCAGAGGCCCCCTTTCCTGGTGGGTAGAGCCTGTGCTGACAGCTCTGTGAGTGCCCCATTTACCATCTAGAGCAGTGGTCTGCAGACTGCGACTCGCGAGCCACACGCGGCTCTTTGCCCCCTTGAGTTCTTAGCAAAGGCCAGGTTAGGAGTACCCTAATTAAATTAATAACAATGTTCCTACCTATATAGATTAACTTTTTAAAAATTGGCTCTCCAAAGAAATTTCAATCGTTGTACTGTTGATATTTGGCTCTGTTGACTAATGAGTTTGCCGACCCCTGGTCGAGAGGATTTGAAGAGATGTGAGCACATCAAAACCCAAAGGCAGTGAGCTTGGGGGGAGGGTGACTCAGCCATAGGGAAGGCCAGTTGGTATTGATGAACGTGAGATGCATAGTTTCAGCTGGGCTCTGGCCAGTGTGTTGAGTGGTCAGAGCATCGTGGGTTGCAAGTTTGATCCCCTGTAGATGTGTCTCTCTCCCATAGATGGTGGTTCTTCTCTCCCCTTCTCTCCCTCCCTTCTTTTTATAAAAAGATCAACGGGGGGGGGGGGGGGGGGGGGGGGGGGAGGAGAAACATATATGTCCTCCGGTGAGGAGTAAGAACAACAAAATAGTTTCAGTTGGATAGATCCGGGCCATATTAAGTTATCTAGATTGAATCTCAGCACTTGTTTTAGCTGAATGGGCCATGCAAAGGAATTCTCCAATTGGTAGACGGAGTGAGCTGGGCAGCAGAGGGAAGGAGGGAAGCCAGTGGGGCTTGGCTGGGTGGAATCCTTGACCAATCAGCAAGTGGCCTACGAGTTTGACCAATAGGCAGAATACATGGTCGAGAGTGGGTGTAACCCTGAGCTGGTCTGGCCAATCAGGGTTTTACTAACGGGAACAGGGGGCGTGGCCTGGGCTGGGCTGCACCCCGACTTGAATTTGGCATGTGGGCCAGGGAGAAGACCTGGAAGAGAAGAAGGCGGAACCGGAGTCTGCAGTGAGGACTGTCCCAGGGATGGCTGACGAGATGTCCGAGGCCCTGGACAGCGAGGGCGGCGGGGGCTTCTGCAAGGCGGGGAGCTCGTCCCCCTCGTCTCTCCTCGTCCCAGGCCCTGGGCTCGGCGAGGACATGGAAGAATTTGTGCTGCGGCCGGCGCCGCGCGGCTGCAAGTTGCAGTGTTGCATCAGCCGCGACAAGCGCGGCGTAAACAAGGGCTTGTTCCCCTTCTACTACCTCTACTTGGAGTCGATCAATGGCCACATCCAGAAGGTGCTGTCTGGCTGCGGGGGCAAGCCCCCACCTCTCAGGGGCTTGACTTTCGCGAATCCAAGGCCTTGCCCATCACCTGTCAACTCCAGCTCCAAAGCTTCCCAGAACTGAGCTCCTTAGAGCCCAGCGGCCAAGGCCCTGCCCCATCCCACAGCCAAGGCCCGCCCCCTGAGCAGACGGGCACGGCTTTCTCAAACTCAGGCCACGCCCTGTCGGGATCCAAACCCTCACCCTTACACACCTCCACAACCCATCTTTGTCGGTCCAAAAAGAGCCTTCTCGGCTATAAGGCCCCACCCAATCCTGGTATAAACCCTGCCCCCTCAGGAACCAAGCCCTGCCCTTGGTGGATTGCCTATCCCAGTGTTTTTCAACCTTTTTTGGGCAAAGGCACACTTGTTTCATGAAAAAAAATCACGAGGCACACCACCATTAGAAAATGTTAAAAAATTTAACTCTGTGCCTATATTGACTATATATAAAGTAATTCTCTTGAATAGGAATCAAATAAACACAAAGAAAGTATTTTATAATTACTTTATTATGAAATATTAAGCAAACAAAATAGTGAAAAATTATAAAATTCTTGTCTGCACCTACAGCACACCAGGCAACATCTCGCCGCGGAACAGCGGTTGAAAAACGCTGGCCTATCCAGAGTCAAGCCATGCCCCTCTCAGCCTAGCCATCTTCCCCCACCCCCTTTTTAAAGTATATTTTATTGATTTTTTTTACAGAGAGGAAGGGAGAGGGATAGAGAGTTAGAAACATGGATCAGCTGCCTCCTGCACACCCCCCACTGGGGATGTGCCTGCAACCAAGATACATGCCCTTGACCGGAATGGAACCTGGGACCCTTCACTCCACAGGCCGACACTCTATCCCCTGAGCCAAACCAGTCAGGGCCATTCCCCTCTCTTTGTGGCACTCTCTCTCCCAGAAAGGGGCTTTTTCCGACTCAGAGCCAGATCCACTTTTCCAAGATGGAACACCTACTGAAGGCCTGTTGTAATGTTCAAAGTGAGGCTCTTTCCTATTGTCCGGAGTCAGGCCTGCCTGGCTCTGCCTGAAGGGGAGACATGTAGTTCCCCTTCAGGACCCAGCTGATGACTTCCTGCAGTGAGAACTACATCTCCCAGCAAGCCATGGGACGCTTATCACCCCGTTACCCTTTCCTCTGTCCCCCCCACGGACATAACGTTTCCTTGTCTTTGGACCCCTAGCCCTATCCTGTACCCGAAATGGAATCTGATGGGCTGTTCTCACATCCACAGCACTTCCTTCTGGCTGGGCGAAAGAGAAAAATGAGCACAACCTCTAACTATCTCATTTCCCTGGACCCCACAGACCTGTCTCGGGAAGGGAGCAGCTTTGTGGGCAAAGTTCGGTAGGCAGAGCCCTCTCAGGGACTGGTGGGCTCTGACGTTCTTCAGGTTGTAACCCCAGGGTGGTTAGAAATAGAATGGAAGGTTTTGGAGCATCGGATGACATTTAAGACATTTGACTTCTTCAAAGGCAAGGGGCTGGGACTCCTACGTTCCTGAGTAGGAGTTCCCTCTAATAATAACCAACAGGTATTAGAGGGACAAGAGTTCCTAAAAGGCCGAGCAGGAGATGGAAAATCATGAATCACAGGGCTGGGACTCATCCACGGAAATGAGTCTTGGGTAGAGGACTGGATGGGAAGAATTGATATGATGGCATGGGGAAAGCAGTTAACGTATAGCACAACGGTAATGGTGATTATTTTTATTCTGGCCACGGCCTTCTCGGAGTAGATCAAATGTCTTGGGCACCAAATTTACCATTTTCGACGGTGGGATGAATCCTGAAAAAAAGTATTTCATCCCGGACAATGATCGGATCAGGGAGGAGCTGGGCGTTGTGTGTTACGTAAGTATTCTGGGGACTAGAGAGTGGGTGGCGCAGAATGGTGGGGAGGGAGACGGAGCCAGGCCAACTAGAGCCTCATACCCCTAGGAGACCAACGTCTTTGGATTCCAAGGGCCCCGGAGAATGTCTGTGATCATCCCAGGAATAGATGACCAGAACAAGAGAATCAGATTCCAGCCACAAAGTGTGAGTTGGCTGAGGTTGAGAATCTCTGGGTGCATAGGGGGGGACAGAGGGCTAGGTTACGGGGTCCTAGGTCCTAAGCGGGGAGGGGGAGGGGGACCATGGTTGCAGGTCACAAGGGCAGCCCGGAGGATTTTATCAGATTTGTGTGTCACAGGGAGGGGAGGCTAGGGACTCAAAATTGTGTGTCCGGAGAGAAAAAGAAAACCCACCGGGACCGGTTTGGGTCAGCGGATAGAGCGTCGGCCTGCAGACTGAAAGGTCCCGGGTTCGATTCCGGGCAAGGGCATGTACCTTGGTTGCGGGCACATCCCCAGTGGGGGGTGTGCAAGAGGCAGCTGATCGATGATTCTCTCTCATCGATGTTTCTAGCTCTCTATCCCTCTCTCTTCCTCTCTGTGAAAAATCAATAAAATATATTTTTTTTAAAAACAAACATACTAGTTTGTGGTAGGGTCTCCACGCCCCTACTCTGCCCTCTAGGAACGGGACTGCATTATGAATCGGGTCCAACGGGGGGCCAACGAGGGGCTGATCCTCCTGCAGAACAAAGTCCCATCGTGGAGCTACAACGCTGGCGCCTACGTGCTCAATTTCCACGGCCGAGTCACTCAGGCCTCCGTCAAGAACTTCCAGATTGTGTATCCCAATGACCGTGAGCTCCTAGCAACTGGGCTGGGGCCCGGGGGTGGAGGGAACGGGGGACACCAACGGACAAGAACTACTCCTCCCATCAACACTCAAGGTTTTCTCTCAGCAAGGCCCACTCCACGCTGTTGCAAAGCCTCTTGGGAATTGTAGTTTATACGGCACTCATAGGGCTTCCTGGCAAAGTAAGGGCGAGGCTGCACAGCCCCTTAGTCTTCTGAGCTCTTAGGGGTCTGGGCAGGGAAAGTGTCTGACGGGGTTTCTAACTTCCTCCTCCTCAGCCCACTACTTGGTGCTTCAGTTCGGCCGCGTGGCCCCAGACCTGTTCACCATGGACTTCTGCTTCCCGCTTTGCCCACTTCAAGCCTTTGCTATCTGCTTGTCCAGTTTCGATGGGAAACTGGCGTGTGAGTAACCCAATAAAATACAACCCTGTCCACAGCTCCGAGCCTGCGCATTTGGAGAAGGGCTCCAGCATGCCTCTGCACCGCCTTACTTACCAACACTTATTAGACGTGTTCGGGGTCCTGGGGAGTGGGCTGCTGAGTGGCACCTGCTCTGGTGGCACTCAGTGCATCATGGGAGATGGGTATTTTTATATATATATTTATTTATTAATTTTTTACAGAGAGGAAGGGAGAGGGATAGAGAGCTAGAAACATCAGTGAGAAACATTCACCAGCTGCCTCCTGCACAACCCCCAATGGGGATGTGCCCGCATCCAAGGTCCATGCCCTTGACCGGAACTGAACCTGGGACCTTTCAATCTGCAGACCAACGCTCTAACCACTGAGCCAAACCGGCTTCAGCGGGAGATGGGTCTTTTAAATAACAAAAAATCAAAGGGCTCACCCGCTATGGAGAAAAGCACATGGAGGCACACAAGTCAGCTGGGTCAAGTCAAGGGAGCTCTAAAATGTTTTCATACTACACCCGAAGCAGCACACGGAACTAGCTGATTCACCAGGGGCAGGAATGGGAACATGAGACAGTAGGCAGAGTTCATGCAAAGATCACAGGTGCAAAGGGACTGGGTTGTGTGGAAAATGAAGGCTGGTGTGGTAGGAGCCTGGGAACCAATGGAGGAGGCGGAGGGTATGAGGCTGGACGGGGTGCTTTGTCTAAAAGGCTGGAGAGATCTTACCAGGTCAGGGAATGTTCTAGAAAAGCTGGATGGGTAATTGAAGACGTGCATGGGTGAGGGAGAACAATCACAATACCCGCTAACACATTTTGACAATAATTGACAAGCATTATTTTATTATTTCTTTAAAGTACCTTTGATTTCAGAGGAGGAACGGAGAGGGAGAGATACATCAATCATTGATAGGCGGCCTCCTACATGCCCTCCGCTGGGGATCAAGCCTGCAACCTGGGCATGTGCCCTGATGGGGAATCAAACAGTGACCTTCTGGCCAAGACCAGTTTGGCTCAATGGACAGAGCTTCGGCTTGGGGACTGAAAGGTCCCGGGTTCGATTCCGGTCAAGGGCATGTACCTTGGTTGCGGGCATATCCCCAGTAGGGGATGTGCAAGAGGCAGCTGATCGATGACTCTCTCATCGATATTTCTAACTCTCTATCTCTCTCCCTTCCTCTCTGTACAAAATCAGTAAAATATTAAAAAAAAAAAAAAAAAAAAAAAAAAAAAAACCTCCTACCGAACAGTGACCTCCTGGTTTATAGGACGACACTCAACCACTGATCTGGCTGGGCCACAAGCATTACTTTAAACATGAACTCCTTCGGGGCCTTTGTAATCCCATAAGGTATATGCAGTTGTTAGCCACGTTTTACAGAAAAGGAAACTGAGGCAATGGACACGGCTTGTAAGTGTTAAATCGGGGCAGTGGAAAGACCCAGGAATTCGCCATGTACAGGCCAGTAGGAGGGTTGTATATTCCAGGGAGATTCAGAAAACTGGAGCTTAACCCTTGGTTAGAGCTCCGAGTCTAGCTCCCAGCCCTTTGGGGAGATAACTGTCTCAAGTCTAATAAAATCTAGGTGGAAGCCAAAGAAAAACTACAAAACCCATCAGCCTTTTGTTCAAAAGAAGCCTGAGGAGGAGGAGAGGCAGATTTGAGGGATGATGGGACATGTATCGATAGTTCATCCTCTATTCAGGCACTGCCTCTTTCCTATCCCCCTCAACTACTTCCAGGACCAGGAGAGGAAGGAATTGTCAGTTCAGATACACAGGGTGACACTGCTCAGTACAAACCAGAAGACTTTATTTATTAAACCAACTGGTAAAAAATAAATAGTGAATGACACAAACACCACAGGATCCTAGCCACGCCTCCCACTGAGGTCCAAGGCGGGGGACAGGGACACGCACAGAGGCGTGGCCTGCACAGAGGAGGTGGGCGCGGGCTGGGCCGTGGCAGGCGTGGCAGCCAGAGGAGAGGGGGCGTTCCCGAGGCGTGCCCAGGCCCTGGCCCGGGCTTCAGGGGTGAGGCAGGGGCCCAGCAGCTCCTGAGCCTGGGCGATGCGGCGGGCAAAGCGGCTTCGATCGCGGGCAAACTGCTCCCAGGGGCCCCTTCGGGCAGCCTGGGCGGGTCCAGCCCAGACAACCAGGAAATGGACGGAGACCTCCTCAGAGAAGTGCACCTGGAGCCGGACGGGCACAGACATAGACACGATGCACACGGTCACAGTGGGAGAGGGAAGAGAGAACCAGACAAAAATTACACAAAAATGCCTGCTATCTGACTCATCACCTGCCTGCCCCCACATTCTCCACGTGACTGAGGGCGCCGGTGTTCTCGGGGCTGGCAAGTCCCCCAGCTGCTGGCAGGGGCCCAGCCCCTTGCAGAGGATTGCATGACAATAGCACAGCCCTCCCAAGGGGTTCACATGCAACCCGCTGTAACACACAGGGGACAGTCCCAGCTCCCTCCTCCCTCACACTCAAGCATCCCCCGTGCTCGCCCTCCCGGGGCTGGCCCCCTGTGCCTGTCTCTAAGGCCCCCCTTTCTCACTTTCCAGTGAGCGAAGCAGCCTTGCACAGGCGCTCTCGTTTCTTCTATCCTAAGCCCTTTACTGTCCCCGGCTTAAAAACAATAAGGGCATCGAGCCCTCAGCACCAACCTTTCTGGCCTGGGGAGTCCCGGGGTCCGGATGCTGGGTGGGGGTTCCCGCAGCCCTGAGCCGCCTGCGCAGTCGGAGGGGCAGCCGAGGAAGAGGCCAGGGAGGCGGTGGCTTCTCTCCTGGGAGATAGATGGCCACTCGGAAGGGCTCAGCCTCCTCAGCGGCTTCCACTCCCTCTGTCTCCGTCCCAGGTGGGTATGTCCAGTCCCTGAGGAGGGCGCTCTGGGCCTGAAGGGAAGGACTTGGGCCCGAGCCAGCTGTTTCTGAATCATCTTCCTCATCCTCATCCTCCTCTTCTGTGTCTTCTCCTGGTCGGTACACCCAGGCCCTCAACAAGGCACTTGCTGGGGGAGTGGATGGGGGACCCTCAGCTTCTCCCTCCTCCTCAGCTGCTCCTGAATCACTGTCTTCCTCTTCCTCCTCTGAGTCCTCTCCTGGTTGGTACACCCAGGCCCTCAACAAGGCACTTGCTGGGGGAGTGGATGGGGGACCCTCAGCTTCTCCCTCCTCCTCAGCTGCTCCTGAATCACTGTCTTCCTCTTCCTCCTCTGAGTCCTCTCCTGGTTGGTACACCCAGGCCCTCAACAAGGCACTTGCTGGGGGAGTGGATGGGGGATCCTCAGCTTCTCCCTCTTCCTCAGCTTCTCCCCAATCACTGTCTTCATCTTCCTCCTCTGTGTCTTCCCCTGGTTGGTACACCCAGGCCCTCAAGAAGGTACTTGTGAGTGGGATGGAAGAGGGACCCTCAGCTTCTCCCTCTTCCTCTGCTTCTCCCCAATCACTGTCTTCCTCCTCTGTGTCCTCTCCTGGTTGGAACACCCAGGCCCTCAAGAAGGAACTTGTAGGGGGAATAGAAGAGGGACTCTCAGCTTCTCCCTCCTCCTCAGCTGCTTCTGAATCACTGTCTTCTTCCTCTTCCTCTGTGTCCTCTCCTGGCCAACACACCCAGGCCTTCGTGAAAGCACGCGTGGTGGGGTTGGCAGACAGGCCCTCAGTTTCCCCTGAAGCATTGTCCTCCTCGGGTTGATGGTGGCAGAGCCCGAGCAGGGGCCTGGGGCTTAGAACTGAGGAGTGCGGCTCTGGGTCAGCTTCTTCCTCAGCCTTTTCACCCTCCTCAGATTCCTCTCCTGAAGGACACTCCCAGGCGCTGAGGCGGGGGTCTGCAGATGAAGAGCTAATGGAGGTCTTCCTGGTTTCTTTCTTCTCGGTCCGTCCTTCCTCCTCAGCTCCAGCCTCTTCCCCTGCAGCACACGCCCAAGCACGGGGCTTGGAATCTGGAGGTGAGGGGGAGGTGGATGTTCTGGAAACTTTATTCACAGCTTCTCCTCCTTCCTCCTGCTCCATCCCTGGACAACCCTCCCAGTGTGATGGAGGGGGAGAGAACGTGATCACTTTATCCTCGGCGACTCCTCCTGCCTCAGTTTCCTCTTCCACACGAGGGTCCAGCAGCGTTCTCAGAAGGCTCAGGGACCTGGGAGCTGGCTGGCCACTTACACAGTCACTTCCTTGCTCTATAGGGATGCTGGTTGCTTCTTCCCCACCATATTCTTCTTCATCATCATCATCTGAAAGTTCCCAGGCTTCAAGAAGAGAACTGTTGGCCTTTAGGGCAGGGCAGGCCCCCCAGAATAACCTGGCATCCTCCTCGGCTCTTCCACTGTCTCCGGGCTCCCACTGAGGGTGCCCACCCCACGGGGCATAGTGAGTGGCCAGAGCAGCCATGGCCGCTTCCTCCAGGCAAGCTTCTCCCTGGTCTGCGCCGGTCACTGCTTCCTCCAGCCAGGGCTTCAGCGGTCCCGGGCCCCTCAGCCGGCTCCAGGCCCTGCTGAGGAGGCCCACCAGCGGGGACAGGAGGTGGAAGGGGTGGGCATCCCTCCAGGGGGGCGGCTGGGGCACCTGCCCGGGAGCCATCTGTCCGGGCTGGGGAGAAGGGAGTGAGAAGCCATTTAGGAGACAGCATGGGGGATGACCCTGAGTCACCAAGGAAACATTACTAACACGGATAGCAACGCGACAGTCCCTGCCAACATTCCTTTCCCGTGACCAGCCACTCCCATCTCTGTCCGTAGTTCCTGCCTCTTTCCTTTCAGGAGTTGGGGTCCTCATTCTCTCCATCTTTAGACCCAAAAGTCCAAGCCCCCATTTTCCCTCAGACTCACAAGTCCCAGTCCCAAGTAGGGAGAACACAGGTCCTCCATGGATTCCCCTTCGGGAACAAGTCCCAGTCTTTGGTTCTCTCATTGTCCTGAGGATTGATAAATCAGGCCCCCATCACCTGCCTCCATGGAAGACTCAAAAATTCCGACCTGCCCTAGCCGGTGTGGCTCAGTGGATAGAGCGTCAGCCTGTGGACTGAAGGGTCCCGGCTTGATTCCAGTCGGGGGCACAAGCCTGGGTTACTGGCTTAATCTCCAGGAAGGGGGCATGCAGGAGACAGCTGATCAATGATGTTTTTATCTCTCTTCCTCTCCCTTCCTTTCTGAAAACGAAGTATTTTTAAAAAACGTCCGGCCACAATCCTCCCCCTTCCCCCCGCCATCTGTAATACTCTTAACTATAAAGACACACATTTAAAAATAATAAAAGGCCCCGGGAGGCACAGAGGCACACAGAGGGAAGATGGCCATATGACAACGGGAGGCAGAGCTTGGGGTGGTGCCCCAGGAGCCAAGGAATTCCAAGAATTGACAACAACCACCAGAAAATAAGCAGCAAGGAAAATTTCTGTCTTAGGGCCTTCAGAGGGAGCGTGGCCCTGCTGCCATCTTTACTGCAGACTTCTAGCCTCCAGAACGGTGAGAGAATAAATTTAAGAAAAAATAAAAAATACATTTAAAAAAAATCCAGCCTCCTCAACCCCCTGGGTTCTTCTCTGGGGACCCGAGTCTGGCTCCCAGACCCCCCCCTCGGCCAGGCTCAGCACTCCGCGCTCCCAATCCCCCTGCTCCCGTCGGAGCCCTGGAGCCGGCCCCGCCCCGCCGGCCCCCAGACAGGAATTCCGGCTCCCAGGCCCCCTCCTCCGGCCCCAGGCGCCCCGGCCCCGGACATGCCTGTCTTTACCCAGAGGCCCAAGCTCCCTCCTCATTAGCGACCCAATGTCCCATCCCTCGCCCCGGCACCCGAGACCCAGCGGCCCCGCCCGCACTCACCGGCGGCGGGCGGCGCGTCACCTCGGGGGCAGCAGCGCCGGCTGGGGCGGCCACGAGCACTCGCGGTTCCGGACGGTTCGGGAGGCCGGCGCTCTCATGTCGCCCTGCGGCGTCGGGGTCGGGGCTCACACCACCTCCGGTGGCTGCAAACGCGGCAGCGACGAACGGGCGCGGGGTCCGGAGGAGCGGCAGGGTCCGGAGGAGCGGCGGGGTCCGGAGGAGCGGCGGGGTCCGGAGGAGCGGCGGGGTCCGGCGGCGGCAACGAAAACAACAACTCGGCTGGGCAGGATCCAAATGGCGTGCCGTGCGCACCGCCCGCGGCGTTTTTATATCCTTACGCGGCCGGACGTGATGACGTTTGAGAAGGGGCGGAGCTTTGAAACGGAAAGCAGGAAGGGAAATAAGGTGGGAATTCTCGCGGAGATTCCGGGCTTCGTAACGTCACCGCGGCATTTTTAGGCGTGATCCCGCCCCGGAACAAGCCTGCTGTCAATCAAATGCGTCATAGGCTCTAGCGCAAACGCCTTTCTTTCTTTCTTTTTCTTTCTTTTCTTTCTTTTCTTTCTTTCTTTTCTTTCTTTCTTTCTTTCTTTCTTCTTTCTTTCTTTCTTTCTTTCTTTCTTTCTTTCTTTCTTTCTTTCTTTCTTTCTTTCTTTCTTTCTTTCTTTCTTTCTTTCTTTCTTTCTTTCTTTCTTTCTTTCTTTTTCTTCTTCTTTCTCTCTCTCTCTCCCTCCCTCCCTCTCTCTCTCCCTCCCTCCCTCCCTCTCTCTTTCTTCTTTCTTTTTTTCTTTCTTAATATATTTTATTCTTTCTTAATATATTTTATTTTTATTTTTCTGATAGAGTCAGAAACATCCATTCCCTTCCTCTCTGTACAAAAATCAATAAAATATATTATTAAAAAACACAAACAAACAAACAAACAAACAAAAAAGAGTAAATGGGACAGGCAGAAATCCAATCAGTGCCATTTGTCAACCACACCCAAGGACAGATGAAATTAAGATAACAAATCTCCCCCTGGCTGGTTTGGCTCAAAGAACGGAGCCTCAGCCTGCAGACTGAAAGGTCCCGGGTTCGATTCCGGCCAGGGGCACATGCCTGGGTGTGGACTCGGTCCCCTGTGGGGGGCGTAAAGGAGGCAGCTGATGGGTGATTCTCTCATCATTAATGTTTCTCTCTCTCTCTCTCCCTCTCCCTTCCTCTCTAAAAGTCAATAAAATATATTAAAAAATATAATAAATCTCATTTTGGTACATCAGCATAAAGCTGATTACTATTCTATTGAAATCCTCCCCTAAGTCCTCCTCTAAACACCCCGCCTTTAAAACTCCTCAGAACAGCTGAAGCCGGTTTGGCTCAGTGGATAGAGCGTCAGCTTGAGGACTGAAGGGTCCCGGATTCGATTCTGGTCTATGTACCTTATTTGCGGGCACATTCCCAGTAGGGGGCATGCAAGAGGCAGCTGATCGATGATTCTCATCAATGTTTCTAACTCTCTATCTCTCTCCCTTTCTCTCTGTACAAAATCAATAAAATATATTTTTTAAAAAATAAAAAATCAATTAAAAAACAAACAAACAAACAAACAAACAAAAACCTCCTTGGAACAAAGGTCCCAATTCTGCCAGAGCCAACACGTGGCTGAAACGTCAGCGTGGAGAGCCGCATGTGATTCTGACCGACCTGTTTTCACCAGCTCGGCATGTACTATAAACATTTCACTGCCACATCTGTTCCAGTTAGAACGTTTAACCCCACCTGCAAACTGCGTTTCCTTTGCTCTATCTCTCACGACACAGAGCAGAACTTATGTTAAAGGTCAGGCACGGTTTCCGGAGTTCAGAGGAATTGCCACTGGCAGCAGGCTGAGTGCCAGAGCATACATGTATCCTGTGCAGGCTCCCCCCCCTCCCCACCCCAGTCTGAACAGTGGCAGGAGGTGTCTACTGGCTAGGAGGAATACGCCAAATCTTTGTTAATGTAAAAACAAACAAACACTGAAACCTGTAAAGAATTGTTATGAGTTTATTTGAGCCAAACTGTCCAATGATGGCAGGAAGCAGAACCTTAATGAATTGAGAGAATGCTCCGGAGAAAGGTGGGTTACATTTGTATTTTTATAATCCATTTTGCAATTATAATCCATTTTATAATCCATTTTGCAATCCAAGGAAGGACAGAGGTGGGTTACAAGAAATTCATAGTTGATAGATTAAGGAGGTGGGATAAAGCAAAGTGGGGGTGGGGGGTGCAGGAGAACCCCTGGGATTGGATAAAAAGTAAAATGAGGGACATATGCTTAGGTGGGTGCAGGAACAATTAGCATGATAATGAAGGGATTTGTGGTATCTGTCCTGGTGTCCACAACATAAGGTTCTCCCCGCTCAGGCCTGCACCTCCTAAACTCTAAGGGACCCCGTGAGGCTTACAACCGGAGCAGCAGTGGGCAGTGGCGGCTCATCCCGGGCCAACCCCCTGACCCTGTCCCCTGAACCCCTTTCTCTGACTTGTTAGTGAGCCCGAGCAGCCCAGCCCAGCTCACCTCCCCAGCCCTCCTGTGTTTCTCTGTCCCCAGCTTCAATAAACATCCTCTCAGTTCACCTGGATTCCTGGTGTGAACTTTTTCCTGCAGGAAGTCAAAAACCCACGCACGCACGACTGCCAGCCCTGGGCAGACCCTCTCAGGGCCAGGAACCCTTCCCGGGAGCACCCCTACCTGGCCCATCATTTTGCTCCTCAAAATATGCCCGGAACCATGTCTCCCTCCTGAGGGGCATGGTCCGTCTTAGCCTGGAGCAGAATTCTCATCTTTTTAAATATATATATATAAATATATATATAAAATTGATTTTTCGCAGAGAGGGAGAGGGATACAAAGTTAGAAACATCAATGAGAGAAAAACATCAATCAGCTGCGTCTTGCACGCCCCCTACTGGGGACGTGCCCGCAACGCAACCAAGGTTCATGTCCTTGACCGGAATCAAATCTGGGACCACTCTATCAGAGCCAAACCGGTTTTGGACAGAATTCTCATATTGATCTGAGGTGGATATCTGGCCTGTCAACTTGACCCTGCTGTAGCCAGAAGCCAGGACTTCAAGGCCACTCCCTCCTCCCAGGAGGACCTGGACCACCCACAGAGCCACACTGCCTGGCCCAGGCTCCACTCACAGCCCACGAGTCCCGAGTCCTGGTGCACACCTTCCCAGACACCCAGGGCTCTGACACGCCAGCCCTTCCTCCCCAGAGCCAAGCCATCTCCATTCTGGGCACCAGTATCTCAGATCTCCTGACCCCACCAGCCCATGGGGAGCCTGGCACTGAGACTCAGCTCCTAGTCCCCAAACATGGAGGGCTACCAGCCTCAGCCCTAGGGGATCCCGGCTCTCCAGGCTCCAGCTCAGCGGGAACCCAGGAGCCAGGGGGGTGGGGGGGGCACCCAGCTCCTCCCCTCAGCTGTGGGGGCAGCTGAGCCAGGGGTCAGGCTGCGGTGGGGAGGCCAGGAGGGGCGGGGTCAGCGGCGACTGGGAGGGGAGACAGCAGCGTGGGCGGCTGGAGGGAGGGAGACACCAGCAGAGGGAAAGAAACTGGGAGTTAGGGAAGAAGAGAAAGTGGAAAGGAGAAGCAGGGAGAGAAGGAAACAGCAGAAGTGGAGGGCTAGAGAGAGAAAGAGGGAGGGAGAGGGAGAGATTGAATGTGAGTGTGTGTGGGGAGAGACAGAGAGAGAGAGAGAGAGAGAGAGAGAGAGAGAGAGAGAGAGAGAGAGAGAGAGACTCAGCTAGACAGAGAGGGAGAGAGGAAAAGAACGAGACAGAGACATAAGGAAGAGACTCTGGGAGTCCGAGAGGAAAGGATTTAGACAGAAACAGAAACAAAGATTGGGAGAGAAAGTGATATGGGTGTGTGAGTGTGTGAGGGAGGGAGGCAGACATGAGTAAGAGACGGGAAGGGACAGAGATTAGAGAGGGAGAGAGACAGAAGGTGAGGCCGGAGGAGACAGAGACGGTCTGAAAGGCAGGGAGATCCAGAGGAAGAGAGACCCAGAGCCTGGGAGAGAGCAGAGCAGGGAGACGGCCTGTGGAGGCAGCACCTGACCGGCAGGGGCCCGGAGCTGGTAAGTCCCCTGGTTGGGCTGAGAGGGGTGCCCATGCCCGGTGCCCCAGGGCTTGGCAGGATGGTTTGGGGTGCATGTGGAAGGGGCGAGGGGGGTGCAGGAGACAGTAACTGCAGGAAGCGTGAAAGAGGCAGGGAATGAGGGGTCCCTAAGCACAGAGAGGGTCAAATTCCTGGCCGTTGTGGGGGGCTGGGGTGGGGGAGAGGCAAGAATAAAGGGGCCCCTATTCTCTGCCCTGGACCACAGGCAGCTGCCCCCTCCCCGCAGCTGCCAGTGCCGCCCACCTCTCTTGGCATCGCCCGTGGTATGCGGGCCCAGGCCGGCCTCGCCCAGCCCCCCAGGCCCCCGAACAACGGGCTCTTTCTCCGCAGCCTCCTCCTCCGACCTGCGAGCCCCTGACCTCGGCGGCTCTGTCCCCAGCCGGGTCAGCTGCAGGGGCAGCGCACACAGCCCCCTTTCTTCCTCGCCCCCGGCCGCCGTCCATGGAGGAGGGCCGGCCCCGGAGCAGCCTCAGCCTGGCCAGCAGCGCCTCCACCATCTCCTCGCTCAGCAGCCTGGGCGCCAAGGTGGGAGCGAGCTTCCGGCGGGGCCGCCGGAGGGAGGGGGGGGGAGGACGCGGGGGGCTGGGGCTGCCCCGTCCTCCCGGCTTCGAGCCCGGGGTGGAGGCCACCCCAGGGACTCCGGCGGTTAAGAGGAAAGAGCCTCAGCCACGGGGTCTGCCAGACCTCGTTAGGGCCCCAGCTGACCCCGAGCTGCAGCTAGGAATTCCAAGGCGCTTCCAGCCGTCCCCACCCCGTGCATTTCCCTGATTCAGGGCCAGAGGCACAACCCCAACGGGTCTGGCTGCTGAGATAGGCCCCGCCCCGCCTCGGGCCACGCCCCCGCCTCGGGCCACGCCCTTCAACGAGCAGCGTCCCACTGGCCACGCCCCCACCACGAGCCACGCCCCCACCTGGGCCACGCCCCGTGGTCACGCCCCCTAGGCACTCCGCTGCAGTGGCTGCTCAGTGTCTCCTGGACTCCCTGCCCCATCTCTAGCCATGCAATGCCCCCAGGTCTGGAATCCGACAAGGACAGACCTTTCTCTGACAAGGAGGCCCCATGGGGCCCACGATACCTGCATCCCACCTGGTCGCCCAGCCCTGCGTCCAGGGGCACTGGCTTCCTTGTCCTCCCGGCCATTCCCCTCCCTCATTCCCACTTCCACAGTTGGGAGTCCAGAGACTGGACCCTGACCTTGCCCGGCACCGTCTCTGCGGGCACCTGTGGGGATGTGGCGGTGGATGCCTGAGACCCCGCGTGCGCGGGCGAGGGGCTCTGCCTGTTGGGATGGAGGGATTCCGAGGAGCCCTCCACCCCCAGACGTGGACGCTAAGGGATGTCTCTCCCTGGCACTGATGGCCTTGGATTCTGACCCATCGCCAGGGTCTTGGCATGGAGGCCTCCTGACTATGGGGCTGCCCAGGCAATGTCCCCGGCTCTGGTGGCCAAGGCCATCCTCTCCTTGGCAGCGGACCCTTCCCGCGGGCCAGCGTCTTCCCTGCCTCTGAGCACCTCTCTCCCCTGTGGAAAGTGCCTCCGCTCTGCCCTGTGCACACCCACTCTGACCTCGAACTCAGCCCCCTCCTGGGCCTGGTTTCCATGGCACCAGATGAGGGGGTTGCTCCCCTCAAACCCCCCCCCCCCCAAAGCCCTGTTCACTTGTCTCCTCTCTCCTCAGAAGCCCCCCCGGGCGGTGAGCAAGGTGCACGCCTTCGGGAAGAGAGGCAATGCGCTCAGAAGGGACCCCAACCTCCCGGTGCACATCAGAGGCTGGCTGCATAAGCAGGTGGGGGGGGCGGGGGAGGGGACGAGACGCTCCGAGTGACGCCAGAGGCTGTGACCCCGGCTGCCTGCTCTTCCTCTCCTTCCGCGTCTCCGCATTTGTTTTGCTTTTGCTCTCACGTCTTCTCCCCTTACTCTGTCAGGGTTTCCTCCATCCATTCCTTCGTTTAATGACCACTTCTTTGACGTGACAGTGTGCCAAGCCCAGGATCACATACCAAGCAAATAGGCCAAGCATCCATAGTCCATTCAAGGTGGGGTGGGGTAGGGGCGGGTAACAAATTAGTATACAAATAAATGGAAGGAGTGAAATAATATATAACCCTATGTAATAAAAGGCTAATATGCAAATCAACCAAACAGCAGAATGATTGGTCGCTATGACACACACTGATCAGCAGGGGGCAGATGCTCAATGTGGGAGCTGCCCCCTTGGTGGTCAGTGCGCTCACACAGGGGAGCGCCTCTCGGCCAGAAGCCTGGCTCATGGCGGGTGAGTGAAGCCTCAGTGGCAGGAGGCTCTCCCGCCTCCTTGGCTGTCCTAAGGATGTCTGACTGACAGCTTCTCTGTGTCTCAGGCTCCAGAATAAAGAGATATATCCAGCCGAACCCGGTTTGGCTCAGTGGATAGAGCGTCGGCCTGCAGACTGAAAGGTCCCGGGTTCTATTCCGGTCAAGGGCATGTACCTTGGTTGCAGGCACATCCACAGTAGGGGGTGTGCAGGAGGCAGCTGATCGATGTTTCTCTCTCATTGATGTTTCTAACTCTCTATCCCTCTTCTTTCCTCTCTGTGAAAAATCAATAAAATATTTAAAAAAATTTTTTAAAAAGAGTGATATTCAACCCCTGCCCACCAGTGGCATGTATGTGTTCCAACTTTTCTATTGTATTTTTGTTCTCTTTTTTTTTAAAAAAAAAATATATATTTTATTGATTTTTTTACAAGAGGAAGAGAGAGGGATAGAGAGTTAGAAACATCGACATCATCGATCAGCTGCCTCTTGCACACCCCCAACTGGAAATGTGCCTGCAACCAAGGTACATGCCCTTGACCGGAATCGAACCCAGGACCTTTCAGTCCGCAGCCTGACGCTCTATCCACTGAGCCACACCGGTTTTGGCTATTTTTTGTTAATTCCCACCGGAGGATATTTCCATTGATTTCTAGAAATAGTGGAAGGGAGTGAGGGAGAGAGAGAGAGAGAGAAACATAGATGTGAGCGAGACACATCGATTGTTTGCCTCCCTGACCTGAGTCTGGGGATTGAACCTGCAACCCAGGTCCATGCCCTTGACCAGAATCAAACCAGAGACCCTTCAGTCTGTAGGCTCATGCTCTATCCACTGAGCCAAACCGGCTATGGCTCCCATAACTTCTCAACCCCCAGTGGACGGATGAGAACAGCTGAGGGTCCGCGTGGGAAAATGAGTGTGTGGGGGCGTAGACTGAAAGTGGTGGGGCTGGGAGTCGAACTCAGGTCTGACTGTCCAGAATCTTACCTCCTCTCCGCCTCCGGCCTTCCACCTGGATCTACTGCATCAAGCGTGCTTCTGTCCCCCCCGTCTCTCTGAGTCTCTGTCCCCTAGGGTCCCTGTCTCCACCTCCTTTCCCCCCTCCCCTGTACTCGCCCTCTCCCGCCTCTCTCCCCAGGACAGCTCCGGGCTCCGGCTCTGGAAGCGCCGCTGGTTCGTCCTCTCTGGCCACTGCCTCTTCTACTACAAGGGTCAGTCCTGCAGTCCGCACGGGGTGACAGGGCGCCCCTCCCACGCCCCCTTTCCTCCAGCCTCTGGGCCTTCCGATCTCTGTGTGACCCCTGACCTCGGACCCGGACCCTCCTTTTGCAGACAGCCGCGAGGAGAGCGTCCTGGGCAGCGTTCTGCTCCCCAGCTACAGTGTCCGGCCAGACGGGCCGGGAGCCCCCCGCGGGCGGCGCTTCACCTTCACCGTGAGTCCCTCCATCCCCCCATTCCTCTGTGCACTATGCACCAGGGCCCGTGGTGGGCAAACTGCGGCTCGCGAGCCACAAAATACCACGGCCTGGGCCAGTCTATGTTGAAGAAGTGGCGTTAGAAGAAGTTTCAGTTTAAAAAATTTGGCTCCTCCTGGCTGGTGTGGCTCAGTGGATAGAGCATCGGCCTGGGGACTGAAGGGTCCCGGGTTCGATTCCGGCCAAAGGAACAGGCCTGGGTTCAGGCTCCACCCCCTGCAGGGGGCGAGCAGGAGGCAGCTGATCCATGATTCTCATCATTGATGTTTCTATCTCTCTATTCCTTTCCCTTCCTCTCTAAATTCAATAAAAATATATATTAAAAAAAAATGTTGGCTCTCAGAAGAAATTTCCATCGTGGTACTGTTGGTGTTTGGCTCTGTTGACTAATGAGTTTGCCGACCACTGCCCTAGGCCGGGCGGGAGGCATCGGCCCCCTTTATTGTATGTGGATGGAAGATCCTGGCTAGGATGGATGCCACCCTCCTTTGCGGAGGGCCCTGGCGGCCAGCTTTGTCTCCCGCAGGCCGAGCACCCGGGCATGCGGACCTACGTGCTGGCGGCGGACACGCTGGAGGACCTGCGGGGCTGGGTGCGTGCGCTGGGCAGGGCGTCCCGCGCGGAGGGAGATGATGGGTGAGTTACCGGCCCCGCACCGGACCCCGCTGCTCCAACCCGGTCTGTCTACTCCTCCCCAACTCCCCCCCTGAGGCCCTCAACACTCCATCACCGTCCTCTGGCTAAAGAGACTACAGGACAAATATGTGATACCCTAATCAATAAAGAAACTAATTAAAAAAGAGAGAGAGAGACTCCGCCCTTCAGGCCCCAGCCTTGGAAGAAGTGCAGTCTTTTCCTCTAAGCTCCGCCCACCACTCTATCCAGGCCCCTTATCAATATTCCGCACTCTGATTGGCTCCCTCAGAAGTCTACACCCAGCCGTTGCCCCCTACACATGTCAGTTAAAAACAAAAAACAAAAAAAAAACCCACAATATTTTGATTAAAATATATTGATTTCAGAGAGAGGAAGGGAAAGGGGAAGAGAGAGAGAAACATCAATGATGAGAGGGAATCATTCGTCAGCTGCCTCCTGCACGCCCTCTACTGGGGATTGATCCCACAACCCGGGCATGTGCCCTGACCAGGATGGAACAACCTCCCGGGTCACAGGTCAGCGCTCAACCACTGAGCCACCCTGGCCGGGCCACAATGTCAGATTTTTATTTATTTATTTATTTATTTATTTTAAAATCTTCACCGTTGCCGAAACCGGTTTGGCTCAGTGGTAGAGCGTTGGTCTGCGGACTGAGAGGTCCCAGGTTCGATTCCGGTCAAGGGCTTGTACATTGGTTGCTGGCACATCCCCTGTGGGGGTTGTGCAAGAGGCAGCTGGTCGATGTTTCTCTCTCATCGACGTTTCTAGCTCTCTATCCCTCTCTCCTCCTCTCTGTAAAAAATCAATAAGATATATTTAAAAAAAAAATAAAATCTTTACTGTTGAAAGTATTACATATGTCTGCTTTCCCCCCTCACTGACTCCCTCCAATCTGCCCTGTCCCTGCCCCCACCCACCCACCCCCATTGTTACTGTCTGTGTCCATGTGCCATGCATATATGCTTACAAGGTCTTTGGTTGTTAACCTCCCACCTGCCTTCCCTCTGAGATTCTGCACTTTGTTCCATGCTTCCATGTCTCTGGATTCAGTCCATTCATCAGTTTATTTTGTCAATTAGATTCCACATGAATGAGATCATGTGATACTTGTCTTTCTCTGCAATGTGAGATTTTAAAAAAATATATATATTTTACTGACTTTACAGAGAGGAAGGGAGAAGGATAGGGAGTTAGAAACATCAATGAGAGAGAAACATTGATCAGCTGCCTCCTGCAAACCTCCTATTGGGAATGTGCCCACAACCAATGTAAATGCCCTTGAACAGAATCGAACCTGGGACCTTTCAGTCTGCAGACCAACGCTCTATCCACTGAGCCAAACCGGTCAGGGTTCAGTTGTTGCTTTTGTTGTATTAAAGGCTTCAGACGGTCTCTCTCTGGATCTGGCCGAGTCTTCAGGCTGGAGACTCAGTCTGGGGCATTGGGCTCAGTGACTTGAATGGACTGTGTGGCCCTTACAAGTCTCCCACACTAGGGCCTTCGTTTCCCCATCTGCAATATGGAGACAACGATTTATAGGGCACCACCTCCCCGCTTTTCTCCTGTGTAGGCCCCTGTGCCTTTGTCTGGGCACTGAGAATAGGGCTGTTATGGGGTGCAAAGGAGTGTTGTCTTTTTCTGTGCTCACTCGCTAGTGGGCGGCCCAGGTCCCCCGCACGTCCCCAGCCTGGGGAGGGCCCCGGCGGCCCCGGTGGTCCTCCGGAGGTGAACCAGGGGGACGAGGGGCCCAGCTCAGAATCGCCGCAAGTGGCTCGGCTGTCCAGAGAGCGTGGCCGCCCCGGGCCGCTCACTCCCGCTTCCACAGCCGACCGCCAGTCTGGACCCGGGATTCGGAGGACCAGGAGCCCCGAGTGAGTTGGACCCGGGAGTCTGGGAGAAGTTCTATGGAGCTTCAGGGAGGAAAACTGGGTTTGGGGCGTGGCCTAAGAGGAGGGCGGGGACTGCAGGCGGTTGGGGCGTGGCCTGGGAAAAGGGAGGGGACTGTGGCTGATTGGGGGCGTGGCATAAGAGAAGGGCGGGGACTTGTTGGGGCGTGGCCTAAGAGGAGGACGGGGCTGGGATTGGTTGGGGCGTGGCCTAAGGGCGGGGGGGGGAACTGCGGCTGTTTGGGGAGTGGCCTAAGAGGAGGGCGGGGACTGTAGGCTGTTGGGGCTTGGCCTGGGAAAAGGGAGGGGACTGTGGCTGATTGGGGGCGTGGCCTGAGAAAGGGGAGGGGACTGTGGCTGGTTGGGGGCGTGGCTTGGCGCTCGCCGTCTGGACTAGGACTTGCTGGGGGTCTGTGGGGTCAGAGCCGGTGGGGGAAAAGCCTCCAGGAGCTGCCAAAAAGGGAGAAATCGTTCAGGATCGGCCAAGAGGAGGCTCTGCTCTTAGCGGGACAGAGAGGCTCAGCAGAGGGAGACCGTCTTGGGGGCTGCCCTGGTGGGTGGCGGGCGGTCCCTCGTTGAGCCGGTCCCGGTTCTCTCCCCCCGCAGCCTGTTCCCGCCCCTCTCGCGCCCGCCCTCCCCGCTGAGCCTCCCGCGGCCCCGCTCTGCGCCCGCACGCAGGCTCCCGCCCTCCTCCTCCTCCTCCGGGGACCCCGCGCTCCCCGCCAGGCCCCACACCCCGCTGAGCCGCATCGACGTGCGCCCCCCCTCGGAATGGGGCCCCCAGCGCCAGGCCCTGTCCCGGCCCCCCACTCCCCGCCGAGCGCCCTCCTCCGAGGCCGGGGGAGGGAGGCCGCCCAGGAGCCCCGAGCACTGGACCCCGGAGGCCAGGACCCAGGTGAGGAGGGGTTGGGGGTGTAGGTCCAGGCTGTCCGCATGCTGGGATCGCAGTCCGGCGTGCTCTCCGCCGAGACAAGGACACGGGAAGGGGTGGGGGTTGCAGCTGCCTCGTGTCTCCTGCAGTTCGTCTTTCCAAGTCGGTCGCCTGTAATTTTCTCTGAGCATCATGGGAGGGTAGCCCAGAATATCCGCAGCTAACCACAGGGGTGAGAGGGAGGGCAGGGGCACCTCCCACCGCCCGGGGCTGTGTGGCCAGGCCGGTCTCTTTATTGCCTTCCTGCCTGTCCCTCCAGTGACACGGGGCCTGCCGCCGGAGAGCAGGTAGTGGAGGCAGTTTGGGGGCCCAGGTTTTTTTTTAAATATATATTTTATTGACTTTTTATAGAGAGGAAAAGAGAGGGATAGAAAGTTAGAAACATTATTAGAGAGAATCATTGATTGGCTGCCTCTTGCACACTTCCCACTGGGAATGTGCCCACAACCAAGGTACATGCCCTTGACCGGAATCGAACCCGGGACCTTTCAGTCGGCAGGCCGACGCTCTATCCATTGAGCCAAACCGGTTTTGGCTGGGGGCCCAGTTTTGAATCTCAAAGGGCCTCCTATGGCACTTCAGTTTTGGGCACACCCACTTTAAAAAAAATTTTTTTTTAATTGATTTCAGAGAGGAAGGGAGAGGGCGAGGTAGAAACGTCAATGATAAGAGAGAATCATTGACCGGCTGCCTCCTGCACGCCCCCTACTGGGAATGGAGCCTGCCACCTTGTCATGTGCCCTTGACCGGAATCAAACCTGGGACCCTTCAGTCTGCAGGCTGACGCTCTATCCACTGAGCCAGACCAGCTAGGGCTGGGCACACCCACTTCAATATTTGTTGCTAAGGCACACCCGTTTCTAAACGTCTCTTTTTCAACATTCCCCCAGACCCCTTCTGGCTCCTCCACTTACATCCAGCTTCCTCCAAGATCTCCTGGGACGCGGGCTTCCCTGGTTTTACTGGTAAATATCCTGGGGCCCCTGGGAACTGCCGGAGCCCCCACTGCTCCCCCCGCTCCCCTGTTTTCCTGGCTACGCTGACCTCATCCGGACTAGTGCGCAGGCCAGGTGGGATGTTGCAAGGTCCTTAGCAGGGGCTCCAGGTACGTTCCTCAGGCTGCGCGAACTGGGCAGCATATATATAGACTCTCTCTCCATTCGGTCGTGTCATCTTCTAATCTTTTACTTGAGTTTTAGAGCTTTTCCATAGAGATCTTAGGTGTTCTTAGTTAAGATAATTCCTAGATACCTGTCAGTTTTTATAGCTATTTGAATGGCATCATCTTTTATATATGCTCAACCACTGAGCTGGGCTGTTTTCTTTGTCTCACAGCATCGGTTAGGATCTCTAACACGGTGTTAAACGGTAACAGAGGTAGTGGCCATCCCTGGTTTATTCTCAGCAGTGAAGGAAATGTCTGGATTCCCCCATGAATGATAACATTTGTTACAGCTGTTAGTTCACAGAGCACATTGAGGGGAGGGCGGTGTCAGTACAGACGGAGGGAGGCTCAGCGCTGGGCCCTGGCTGCCCAGTGACCTGGCTTCTCTCCTCCCCAGCCGGGCCCTCCCCTGGACTCCTCCTTCCCCCAGAGCTTGGAGACAGATGTAAGTCCTCCCGGATCCAAACTCTGCTGAGTTCCAGGGTTGGGGAGAGAATGTTCTAGGTGCGTGAGTGTGGGGGGCTGGGGGATGGGGACAGGGGTAAGAGCCAGATCTGGCCCGTTCTCCTTTTTCAGACTCTGTTGACCAAGCTGTGTGGCCAGGACCGGCTGCTGAAGAGGCTGCAGGAGGAGATAGACCAGAGGCAGGAAGAGAAGGTGGGATGGGAAGAGACACCTAGTCCCGCCCCCGCCCTTAGCCCGACCCTATCCTCAGCATTCGGGCTGAAGAGGATGTGGGAGGACACTTGTTCTCTCTCCCTCGGGCTGGGTGTGACTTCAGAAAGTTAATCTTTTCTTTAATTTTTTTTTTTAGAAAATATATTTTATTGATTTTTTTTTTACAGAGGAAGAGAGAGGGAATAGAGAGTTAGAAACATCGATGAGAGAGAATCATTGATCAGCTGCCTCCTGCCCACCCCCCACTGGGGATGTGCCCGCAGCCAAGGTACATGCCCTTGACCGGAATCGAACCTGGGACCCTTCAGTCCGCAGGCTGATGCTCTATCCACTGAGCCAAACCGGTTTTGGCTTTTTAAATTTTTTAAATTGAATTGAGAGAGAGGGAAGGAGAGGGAGAGATAGAAACATCAATGATGAGAGAACCACGGATCGGCTGCCTCCTGCATGCCCCCTACTGGGGATGGAGCACACAACCTGGGCATGTGCCCCTGTCCCTGTGACCTCCTGGTTCATGGGCTGATGTGAGCCCTGCTGCTGGGCGAAGGTCATCATTCCCCTCTCGGTGCAGGAGCAGCTGGAAGCAGCCCTGGAGTTGACCAGGCAGCAGCTGGGCCAGGCAGCCAGGGAAGCTGCGGCTCCTCCGAGGGCCTGGGGGCGCCAGCGCCTCCTGCAGGACCGGCTGGTCAGTGTGAGGGCCACTCTTTGTCACTTGACTCAGGTGAGCATCTGGGAAGGGACATACCCTGGAGGGGTGGGGGGGAATGGCGCCAGGGCTCATGGGAAGGTAGTTTTTGAGAATTGCCCTCTCCCCAAATTTTAGGCCCATGCTCTTGTCTGTCCCAGAGGGTGAGCAGCCAGGAAGCTCAGGACTTCATGTAGCGGTTTAAGGGGTGGTTGGATGCGGATTCCTGGCTTTGAGTCTCAGCTCGCACTCCCGGTAGCTGTGTGAGCTTAGAAAAGTTACCCAACCCCTCTGGGCCTTAGCTCCCATAAGACGCATCTTCTGTAAACGCGAGATGGAAAATACAGTAGGGGAAAAACACTTAAAAAAACATTTGAATAATGTACTGATGTCTTTAACCTGACGTCAAAACTTCTGGGTAAGGGTAATAATGCCTTACACAGCGGGCAGCAAACTCATGAGTCAACAGAACCGCAGCTTGCCTACCACTGTCCTAGCCATTGAATAAATGACTAGTTAACACGTCGGTACCTGGCATCTGATCGGCAGTATTTGTGTTAGCTATGGGTATTATTGTCTGTAAAATGGAAACATTCATAGAACCTATAGCACAGACTTAAATGAGTGCTAAGAACAGTGCCTGACACACATGAAGTGCCTAATAAATACTAGCGGCTATCAATCATTATTACTATTGGTGAGGGGGTTTCTGCTGTCCAGGAGGGCAGAGGGGTGTGGTCCTGACTAGCCGGAGAACTCACCAGATGTGCCCCAGGGCAGCTCAGAGGGGAGGGCTCAGAGAGAGCTGTGATTTCTCTGCACTAGGAGCTCTTTGGAATGCCAGGTTCCTTACAGACACTGCGGTTCCCAAGGGAGTGTGGACTACAATTCCCAGAGGCCCCTTTACATGGACTACAATTCCCAGAGGCCTCTTTGCTGGCCTCTGGGAATTGTAGTCCATGTAAAGAGGCCTCTGGGAATTGTAGTCCACGTACTCCCTCAGGACACCAGGGCCCAGGCTGGCCTTCCTCCTCCTCCTCTGGGAACACTGGGAGTAGGATGCTCTAGGGGAAGATCTAGGGGGTGGGCATGCTAACCCCGTGTCTCCCCTTTCTGGAAGGAGCGTGAGCGGGTTTGGGACGCGTACAGCGGCCTGGAGCAGGAGCTGGGCACCGTGAGAGAGACCCTGGAGTGCCTGCTGCACCTCGGGTCCCCGCAGGTACATCCCTGTCCCCAGCCCCAAGCCCCACCGTCCACACCTGGAAACCCTGTGGGCACTGAGGCCCCTCCCACAGGTTTGAAGTCCTTCTCACAAGCTCCTCCCCTTCCTTTATTTCCTTCCTTTTCTTCATTTTTCCCATTCTTACCAGAGGATATAACTATTGATTTTAGAGAGGAAAGGAGAGAGAGAAACATCAATGTGAGAGAGAAACATTGATCAGTTATTTCTCTTACGTGCCCCAACCAGGGATCGAACCCCAGCCTAGGTATGTGCCCTGACCGGAAATCGAACCCGGGGCAGTTAGGTATAGAGGATGATGCTCCAACCAACTGAGCCACATTGTTCAGGGCCAAAATCATGTATCTTTTTTATTTGATGTTATTTGATTTATTTTTTATTGGTTTCAAAGAGGAAGGGAGAGGGAAAGAGAGTTAGAAACATCAATGATTAGAGAGAGAGAATCATTCATCAACTGCCTCCCACAAGCCCCACATTGGGGATAGATATGGCAGGCCTGTGCCCAGACCTGGAATCAAACCGTGACCTCCTGGTTCATAGGTCGACGCTCAACCACTGAGCCACGCTGGCTGGGGCCAAAATTATATATTTTTAGTTAAAAACATTGACTTCTAGTATTACATGTGTACTTACAGATTTAAGCCCTGACTTCTTCATTCTAAACCCTCCCAACTTCTCCTTAAAATCCAACATTTAACACTGACGCCCCCTAGTGGTGTTAAATATTACTTACAACCAGCAATAGAGGAAGAGAACAGAAATGCATTACAACCAAATTGGGTTTGCTATGGGAATGCAAGGTTAGTTTTAACACTTGAAAATCAGTCCATGCATTTCACTACATTTGACAACATAATAGAGGAAAACCACATGGTCGTCTCAACACATGCAGGGCGGAGAAAGACAAGATTCCACACCCATTCCTGATAAAAGCTCTCAGTAAAGCAGAAATGGAAGTTCCTTCATCTGATAAAAGTTGTTTATTACTTGCCGAAACCGGTTTGGCTCAATGGATAGAGCGTCGGTCTGCGGACTGGGGGGTCCCAGGTTCGATTCCGGTCAAGGGCATGTACCTTGGTTGCGGGTACATCCCCAGGAGGGGGTGTGCAAGAGGCAGCTGATTCTCTCTCATCGATGTTTCTAACTCTCTATCTCTCTCCCTTCCTCTCTGTACAAAATCAATAAAATATATATTTTTAAAAAGTTGTTTATTACCAATCTACAGCAAACATTGCAGTGGTCAGTGACATATGGAAAACGTTCCTCCTGATGTTTGGAATAAGACAAGGGTGTCTGCTATCACCAGTTCTCGTCGACATTGTACCAGAGGTCTTATTTACTTTATTTTTTATTTTTTATTTTTTTTTAAATATATTTTTATTGGTTTTTTACAGAGAGGAAGGGAGAGATAGAGAGCTAGAAACGTCGATGAGAGAGAAACATCGACCAGCTGCCTCTTGCACCCCCCCCACCGGGGATGTGCCTGCAACCAACGTACATGCCCTTGACCGGAATCGAACCTGGGACCCTTCAGTCCGCAGACCGACGCTCTACCACTGAGCTAAATCGGCTTCGGCCTTATTTATTTTATTTTTTAAAATATATTGCCGAAACCGGTTTGGCTCAGTGGATAGAGCGTTGGCCTGCGGACTGAAGGGTCCCAGGTTCGATTCCGGTCAAGGGCATGTACGTTGGTTGCGGGCACATCCCCGGTGAGGGATGTGCAAGAGGCAGCTGGTTGATGTTTCTAACTCTCTATCCCTCTTTCTTCCTCTCTGTGAAAAATCAATAAATATATTTAAAATATATATATATATATATATTTTATTGATTTTTTACAAAGAGGAAGGGAGAGGGATAGAGAGTTAGAAACATTAATGAGAAGCATCGATCAGCTGCCTCCTGCACGCCCCCTACTGGGGATGTGCCCGCAACCAAGTGTACCAGAGGTTTTAGACAGACCAAGTACAAGAAGTAAGCAATTAGGTATCAGGACAAGAAAGAAAGAAGTAAAGCTATTTTCATTTACAGATTGTGTATATGTGTAGAATATCCAAGTCATGTCCAGCTCTACCCAGTTGGCTCAGTGGATAAAGCTCCGGCCGGCAGGCTGAAGGGTCCCAGGTTCGATCATGGTCAAGGGCACATGCCTCAGTTGCAGATCTCTCTCCAGCTGGGCCTTGGTCAGGGTGCACGCAGGAGGCAACAAATGGCTGTCTTTCTCTCACACTGATATTTTTGTCTTTCCTTCTCTCTCCCACTGTCTCTAAAAATCAATGGAAAAATATCCTCAGGTGAGGATAAATAAATAAATAAATGCACACATTTTAAAAAATAATAATTTCCAGAGACACTATTAGAATAAGCATATTTAGCTGAAATCGGTTTGGCTCAGTGGTAGAGCGTCAGTCTGCGGACTGAAAGGTCCCGGGTTCGATTCTGGTCAGGGGCATGTACATTGGTTGCGGGCACATCCCCTGTAGGGGGTGTGCAAGAGGCAGCCGATCGATGTTCATCTCTCATCGATGTTTCTAACTCTCTGTCCCTCTCTCTTCCTCTCTGTTAAAAATATATATATATATATATATATTAAAAAAAAAAAGAAGCATATTTAGCAGGGTCACTGAATGCAAGGTTAATATCAATTGTCCTCATATTTGCCAGTGCCAAACAAGTAGAAAGTAAGTAAACAACAGTTTTTAAAATATGTATATTTTTTTATTGATTTCTGAGAGGAAAAGAGAGGGAGATAGAAACACCAATGAGAGAAAATCATTGATCGGCTGCCTCCTGCACGCCTCCTGCTGGGGATCATGCTCGAAAGCTGAGCATGTGAGCGTGTGCCCTTGACTAGAATCGAACCTGGCCCCTAACCGGTTTGGCTCAGTGGATAGAGTGTCAGCCTGCGGACTGAAGGGTCCCAGGTTCGATTCCGGTCAAGGGCATGTACCTTGGTTGTGGGCACATCCCGGTAGGGGGTGTGCAGGAGGCAGCTGGTTGATGTTTCTGTCTCGATGTTTTTAGCTCTCTATCCCTCTCCCTTTCTGTAAAAAATAAATAGAATATATTTAAAAAATAAATAAAAACCACAGGACATCAGAATATATTTAAAAAAATAAAGAAAACCCCCCAAAAAAACCAAAACCACAGAGAAGGTAGAGACCTACATAAATGGGGAGATATACCAAGCTCATGGATAGGAAAGATACACTAATGCAAAGATGTAGTCTCCCCAAGTGAATTTCCCCAATGGGGATCAGCAGCCCCAATGCAGATCCAGAGGGTTTTTGCATGGAGATTGACACACTGACCCTACGTTGCATTTGGAAAGCTACTGTTAATGACACAGGGTAATGTTGACACAGGTTAGACAAAGAAACTGAATAGGGTACTCAGAAGCAGACTCACGTACATGTATATGGCCCCTTATTTATGCCAGAGGCAACGCTGCAGAGCCTTGCAAAAAACAGTGTAGCCAATACCGGTGTGGCTCAGTGGATAGAGCCTGCGGACGGAAAGGTCCCTGGTTCGATTCCGGTCAGGGGCGTGTACCTTGGTTGTGGGCACATCCCCAGTAGGGGGTGTGCAGCAGGCAGCTAATCGATGATTCTGTCTCATCGATGTTTCTGACTCTCTTCCTCTCTGTAAAAAAATCAATAAAATTTATATATATATTTTTAAAAAGACAGTGTTTGTGATAAGTGGGGGTGAGGTGGCAGGATATCCATATGGGAATGGGTAGCCACAAATACAGCTGTGATATGTGCATGTAGTCCATTTATTTATTTTATATATATAATTCTCTCATATATATTTTATTGATTTCAGAGAGGGAGGGAGAGGGAGAGAGAGAAACATCAGTGTTAAGAGACTCATTTCTTGGCTGCCTCCTGCACACAGGAGGGAACATAGCCCCCAACCTAGGCCTGTGCCCTTGACTGGAACTGAACCCAGGACCCTTCATTCTGCAGGCCAATGCTCTACCCACTGAGCCACACCAGCTCTGGCCATAGTCCCTTTACGACTCCACAAACAGCCCGGCTGGTTTCAGATGCTGCCTGGGGCCCATCAGCTTTAACCCTCTTGCATTGTCCCACCTCATTCATTTCCTCCCTCCCCCTTTCCCCCAGGACAGAGCGTCTGCTCAGCAGCAGCTGTGGATGATGGAAGACACCCTGGCAGGTCTGGGGGGCCCCCAGAAACCGCCCCAAAGCACGGAGCCTGACTCCCCATCTCCTGCTCTCCAAGGCGAGGAGTCTTCAGAGAGAGAGGTGAGGCTTACACACGTCTCTTCCCATTCCCAGCTTCCTGTCCCATCTGCCAAACTATCGCCCACTCACCTCTCTCCCTCTCCTTTGACCGACTAACCAGCCTCAGACAAGCATCCTAAGCCGGGGAAGTCGTAGTTTCCTTGTTACATGTGAGCGTAAGCCAGCGGGGTGCTGGGCCCAGCTCAGCCCCACCCCCCAGGGGCCAACTGCGGGCATCACTTCCCAACTCCACAGTCAAGGATGCCCTGTGGAAATGGACCGGAGTGGGATATTTACACCACGGTAACTGGCAAACACGCAAACCAGGGCTGTTTCCCCCCAGAGAGTCATTGCTTAACACTTATCAGACTTTTCCCCCTCCTCCTCCTCCTCCTCCTACTCCTCCTCCTCCTCCTCCTCCTCCTCCTCCTCCCCCTCTTCTTCTTCTTCTTCTTCTTCTTCTTCTTCTTCTTCTTCTTCTTCTTCTTTTCCTCCTCCTCCTCCTCCTTCTTCTTCTTCTTTTAATATATTTTATTGATTTTTTACAGAGAGGAAGGTAGAGGGAGAGAGAATTAGAAACATCAATCAGCTGCCTCCTGTACACCCCCCACTGGGGATGTGCCCGCAAACCAAGGTACATGCCTTTGACCGGAATGGAACCTGGGACCTTTCAGTCCCCAGGCCCACGCTCTATCCACTGAGCCACACCGGTTAGGGCCTAGCTGCTGGTTTTCCACCTCAATCCCATGGTGCTGCGTCCCAGTTGCTAGTTGCTTAACCAGTGGCCATAATAAGGATGACGATCATCATGATTCCTCTTCCCCAACCCCTCCAGAGTCTGCCTGAATCCTTGGAACTGAGCTCACCCCGGTCCTCAGAGGCCGACTGGGGGCGGCCGCCCGGGGGGGACCGAGGCCCTGCCAGCGCTGGCTCAGGTGAGCACCCTGGGCCGGGGGGACCCACACACACACACACACACCCACACACACACACACACCGGCATGGCCCCCCGCCCTCACCACATCCCCTCCTGCCCTGCCAGGTGTGGGGTCTCCCAGGACCTCCCAGGCTTCCAGCCCCGAGGGTCGCTGCCCTCCCTCCCCGCAGCCAGGCACCAAGGTAGGCGGTCTGCCTGGCCCCCCGGGCCCTCTCGTAACCCTTCCTCTGATCAGCACCCATCACCCACTCTCGGGGGAACGGCTGGGGGAGGGGCTCCAAGGCGACAGCCCAGAGCACAGGGAACGTGAGGTGAGAACATTGGGGTTAAATTCTGTCCCTGCCACCGCTAAGCTGTGTGACTTCGGGCCAGTTACTAAGCCTCTCTCTGCCTCCATTTTCTCGTCTGCAAAATGAGTGCCTGCCACCTAGAGCTGATGTGGGGGTTCAGACTAGATGAATGCCCAGGGAGGGTTGGAAATAGTGCCCGGATATAGTAAGTACTTCACTCACTCACTCACTCATTCATTCATTCATTTATCTATTCCTTGACTTAACAAATATTTTTAAAAATATATATATTTTATTAATTTTTTACAGAGAGGAAGGGAGAGAGATAGAGAGCTAGAAACGTTGATGAGAGAGAAACATCGACCAGCTGCCTCTTGCACACCCCCTACCGGGGATGTGACCACAACCAACGTACATGCCCCTGACCGGAATCGAACCTGGGACCTTTCATTCCGCAGACCGACGCTTTACCACTGAGCCAAACCGGTTTTGGTGTGACTTAACAAATATTGATTCAATATCCTCTTCACTATCCGATAAGGTAGCCAGTAGCCACTTGTGGCTGTTTAAATTTATTTATTTATTTTAAAATATATTTTATTGATTTTTAAAAATATATATTTTATTGATTTTTTACAGAGAGGAAGGGAGAGGGACAGAGAATTAAAAACATTGATGAGAGAGAAACATGGATCAGCTGCCTCCTGCACACCTCCTACCAGGGATGTGCCTGCAATCAAGGTACATGCCCTTGACCGGAATCGAACCTGGGACCTTTTAGTCCGCAGGCCGATGCTCTATCCATTGAGCCACACCGGTTAGGGAGAAAGCCTTCTTTAAAAAAAAATAATAATAATAATAAAAAAAAAATATATATATATATATATTATTGATTTCAGAGAGAGAGAGAGAGAGATAAAAACATTGATGATGAGAGAGCCTCCTACTGGGGAGTGAGCCCGCAACCTGGGCATATGCCCTTGACCTGAATTGAACTTGGGACCTTTCAGCCTGCAGGCTGACGCTCTGTCCCCTGAGCCACACCAGCCGGGGCTAGGAAGCCTTTTAACGGATAGGTAAACTGAGTCCGGGTGCATGAGAAAAGGCGTGGCCATGTGGGAAAGTCCAACAGAGGGAACGGCGTGGAGGGGATGGAGACGCAGAATCAGTGCTGAAGCTGTTCCTTTGCTTAAACAAGGTAGACCTGGAGAGTCCAGGGACTGGCCGCCCGTAAGCTGGGGAGGCTTTGTGTCTGCTGCTGATTGGCTGGCTTTCAGAGACGCGGGCCGGCACTGATTGGCTGGCTGGCTGGCTGGGGATGATGACCTGACCCAGCGGAGTGGAGGGCGCTTCTGGTGCTTCCTTGTTGTCATGGATACAAAGCCACTGTCTTTCCTAGGAAGGGCGTGGCGTGCGGAATGGGCAGGAATTGCTTCTTCCCCTCCCAGCCACGCAGTTCTGCGCCGGCCGGCTGGGGAGGCATTCCGGAGCTGAGCAAGGAGCAAGATGGCCACGAGGGGGCGGTAGCGCGCACTGAGCTTTATTGACCCCTTTGGACGGGTTTGCCCTGGGAGAAGCCAGGACCTGAGACCCGAGGTTATTGTGGGAGCCAGTGCCCAAGGGGAGGGGGCGGGGAGGTCTGAGAAGGGGGTTCAGGGCAGGGAGACAGCACTCAGCGCACAGCGGGTGTCTCTGGGAGAAGCCTTAGGTGGCAGCCCCTTGGGGTATACTTTCTCCTTTCCTTCCTTCCTTCCTTCCTTCCTTCCTTCCTTCCTTCCTTCCTTCCTTCCTTCCTTCCTCTCTCTTTCTTCTAATAATATACACCAAATGGCCAGATTATGATCTCTGAATGCATAATAATCTGGTCACTCAGTATATATTACCTAATAAAATAGAAACATGCAAATTAACCATACACCCACAGCCAATCAGAATGAGTATGCAAATTAACCCAACAAAGGTGGAGGTTGATTTGCATGTGGGAGGGCTGGGAGGGGAAGCAGCGGGTGGAGGGAGCCACAGGAGCGGTGCTTCAGACAGAAGGGGGGGCTCCCTGGCTCCCGGGCGCTGGGATGAAGCCAGGGGAAGGAAGGCCTGTTCTTGCTCGAATATTGTGCAACGAGCCTCTAGTGTATATATATATTAGAGGCCCGGTGCATGAATTCGTGCATGGGTGGGGGCCGGCCAGCCTGGCCAGAGGGAGGGGATATGGGCAGTTGGCCAGCCTGCCTGCTGGTTGAACTCCTGGTCAGAGTGGCCAGATTTTATGCGTTCAGAGATCACCATAATCTGGTCACTCAGTGTATATATCGCCCGGCGGGCGTGGCTCAGTGGTTGAGCATCAATCTATGAACCAGGAGGTCACAGTCCAAAACCCCGTCAGGGCCCGGGCCCAGGTTGTAGGCTCGATCCCCAGTGTGTGCAGGAGGCGGCCAATCAATGATTCTCATCATTGATGCTTCTCTCTCTCTCTCTCTCCCTTTCTGTCTAAAAATAAATACCAACATGTTAAAAAATAAAAATATAATATAATTCAATTAAAAGTGAAAAAATATATTAGAGAGCAAGGAAGGGGGGGGAGAGAGAGAGAGAGAGAGAGAGAGAGAGAGAGAGAGAGAGAGAGAAACATCGATGTGAGAGCACAACATCGATTGGCTGCCTTCTGCACTCCCCCTACCTGGCCTCAAGGCCCCAAGGGAATCCGGGCAGGTGCCCTGACCAGGAATAGAACTGGCAACCCTTTGGTGCATGGGCTGGCCCCCAACCAACTGAGCCACACTGGCCAGGCTGCTTGGTCCTTTATAGCTGCAGGTTCGCCTTGCCTCTGGCCTGCCAATGCTGGGCACAGCTCCGTGGAGCAGTCACAGCAGGCAGGCTTTAACTGGCTAAAAATACCTGCCTGTGTGGGCTGCTGTATTTGAAACCAGTGAGTGTGTCAAAGTTTGGAGAAACAGACGGCACAGGGCCATATGCAGGGGGACTGTGTGCAGCAGGCGGGCGTGCGATCAGGATTGGCCGAATCGGAGTAAAACAGGGGCTGGCCCCACCGTGAGCCACAGATGGATCCAGGCCCTTTCCAGTTTTTATTTATTTTATTTTAAATATATTTTATTGATTTTATACAGAGAGGAAGGGAGAGGGAGGGGGAGAGGTTCAGAAACATCGATGAGAGAGAAACATCGATCAGCTGCCTCTTGCACACCCCCCACTGGGGATGTGCCTGCAACCAAGGTACATCCCCTTTGACTGGAATCGAACCCGGGACCCTTCAGTCCGCAGGCTGATCCAAACCCGTCAGAGCTGTTTCTAGTTTTTAGAATTTTCTCGTTGCAGCTGCAGCGATGAGTTCTCTTCCCTTTATTTTTTGTTTTGTTTAGTGTGCTT